GGTCACTGGGCAGACCCAGGTGCCACGGGTCGACTGACTGAGATGACTGGCTGATGCACCACCTGTGCCCCCTACTGCGCCAACCTGCTGTGCTTTAGCCACCCGGCACTCCGCTCGTTGTTGTGAGCGTCGCTCCTCCGCCCTCCGTTGTTGTTGGAGGGCGACTGCCTCCACCTGCCCAGTAGCGTCCTTCACGAGCCTCCTCCACAGAGGTCGATCTTGACACCGCTGGTACCGGTCATCGGCAAGTCCACTCAGCTCCACGTCCTCCTGTACCACATCACTCCATCTCTTCTCTAGCCCGTGCCGCGCCCGTTTAGCCCCCTCGATCCGGCCGAACAAAAGCTGTTTCGGCATGCGGTGGCTGGGCATGCGGGCTACATGACCCAGCCATCGCAGCCTTGCCCGCCGGAGGAGCTCACCGATGGGACCTTGCCCAGATCTTTCAAGGATTTGTGAGCTCCTCACACAATCCAGTCTGGTTAAACCCAGGATGGATCGTAGGCAGGCCAGCCTAAATGTTTTCAACCGGTGAAGATGTTCCATTAGGGGGGGTCCACGTTTCGCAAGCGTAGAGAAGGGAGGGAATGACCGTGGCCGAGAAGACCTGAAGCTTAGTGCGGAGCGACAGACCAGGTAGCTTCCACACAGCGTTACGCAACCGATGAAAAGATATTGCCGCTCGACTGATTCGGAGTGAGACCTCTGCTGTTAAACTGGAGCCGGCCATGAGCACACTGCCCAGGTATGGGAAACTCTCCACTCTCTCCACAACTGCCCCATCACCGATTGGGAGTTGTGGGGGTGGGTGTCCGATGGTACAAAATACCCAGGCAGGTGCTTAGTTTTGGTGGGGCTGATGGTAAGGCCCCACCTCTTGGTGGTAAGCTCCAGGTTCAGCAGCAGCGTCTCCAACTCCTCCTCTGACTGAGCAGCTATTACCAAGTCATCAGCATACATAACGTGGTTGAGCAATAGGGAGCCATCCTTTGACCGCACCCGGGCATCGATCAGCCTCCCATTGTATCTGTACCAGATGGAGATTCCCCCGGTACAGCTATTGAAGGCTTCACGAACTACGTGGTTGCAATAGATGTTAAATAATGTTGGAACCAGAGGACATCCCTGTCGCACCCCAAGGTGAACAGGGAATGGCTCCGACTCCCGGCCACGTAGTTTTACCCGGGCCCGCTCACCATCATGAAGGTCCTTAATGATCGTGAGCAGAGGGTCAGGGACTCCAAAAGCACGAAGAATAACCCAGAGCCCAGGCCTACTGATGGTATCATAGGCCTTGACCAGGTCAATAAAGCAGAGATGTAGGTCTTGTTGGAATTCCCTACACCTCTGCTGTAGCAGACGGACAGAAAATATGGCATCTGTGCAGGCCCGCCCTTTCCTGAAACCGCATTGGGGCTCCGCAAGCCTCTCCTCAGCGTGTCTGGCAAGGCGATGCTGAATAATCCTTGCCAGGACCTTTCCCGGCACACTGAGGAGTGAGATGCCCCTGTAGTTGTTACAGTCTGTGCGGTCCCCCTTCTTAAAGAGGGGGACCACCAGGGCATCCTTCCAATTCTGCGGAACCCGTCCAGTGGTCCAGACTGTTGTTATGATGTCATGTAGGGCAGTCTGTGCACAAATGCCACCCTCCCTCAGGATTTCGCTTGGGAGATCATCTCTGCCCGCTGCCTTTCCTGGTCTCAGACTCTGGATCACCCTCAGTACTTCCTCAACAGATGGCACCTCAGCCAGCCACTCACAGGGGGTGACTTCCTCCTCCAATATTTGAGGCACTGCAGCCTCAGCAGGGTCATCCTCACTTTGTGCCACGATGTTTTCCTGGCTGAGGGATTTCCCCTCCCCCAGGACCTCACAGAAATGCTCAGCAAATCTGCAAACCTGTTCCTGGGGGTCGGAGATTGGATCACCGTTCTTTCCCCTAATGATGGTAATAGGTGTGGCGCTGCAGGTTACTTTTTTGATGGAGTTAAACAGAGATTTGTGATCGCGGGCCACTGAGGCAGACTCCATCTCCTCAGCAACCCGCGACCACCACCCATCCTTGCAGCGCCTCACGGCTCTCCGAACCTCCGAGCGAAGGCTGCGGTAAGCCTCCTCATTCTCTGACGTGGGATTCTGTAGCCGATGAGAGTGGGCCTGTCGCTTTTGCTCTTGAACACCTCCTCTGTCAGCCAGGGTCTCTGGGGAGGTCTGGACCGTGTACCCAAAGCAGCCATTGCAGCTGCATTGAGTCACAGTCCTAAACCTCGCCCATTTACCCTCGACATCAGGAGGAGTCGGGGACGATGCCAATCCCAGCCGCAAGCGATGATGAAATTCTCGCTTGCAACTTTCATCAGATAACTGAGACCAGGCCACTTTAGGTTGGAATGGGGTCCTGGGTGTACACCCACCACCGGAGTGGAAGAATGGCAGGCGCATCTTACAGATGACTAGTCAATGGTCAGAGGGCGGATCAGCTCCACGGTAGGTCCTGGTGTCAAGGACATGGGCTCGCATCCGCTGGTCCGTCACTATCTAGTCCAGCAGATGTTCTTGCTTGGACCCGGCATGCATCCATAATGTTGTGTGGATGCGCCGATGCCGGAACAGCGTGTTGGTAATTACAAGCCCATGGGCTGCACAAAAATCTAGCAGCCTCCTACCGTTGTTATTGAGCTGATCTGGCCCATGCCTTGCAATTACTCCAGACCAGGTGCCAGCATCATGACCAACTCGGGCATTGAAGTCGCCCAACAAGATGACTCTATCCCGAGGGGCCACTTTAGCCAGCACCTGTGACAGGAGGTCATAGAAGGCATCTGACTCATCGGCCTTGCCTGCATCCCTCCACGGATGTTCGTCTTCGGTGGGGGCATAAGTAACCACGACCACCATTCCTCGCCTCCGGTTGATGGGAAGGCGAGCCCAAAGTAGCCTGGGGCTTACAGCTTCCCACACCTCACCGCCACGCTCCCACGCCCCCTTCATTCTTTTGTTCAGAAGAAGAACCACACTCCCTGTTGTTTGGCAGTCTGCTGCCCCGAGTAGAGGACTGTCCACCCCTCATGGTGGCAGGAGCCAGAGCCGGTCCACCGGACCTCCCGAATGCCACAGAGATCCAGGCGGTACCGGTCCAGCTCCGGACAGAGGAGCGGGTAGCCTCTCCTCCGCGGTGAGCGTTCGAACATTCCACGTGGCCACACAAAGTGGCTTTTCCGTTGTTTCTGGAGTAGCCCCGAGGGTAGGTATTCAATCTCCTGGCTCCGCCAAATTGGGGTTTTGGCCAGGAAAACGTCACGGACGCCTGTCCCCCCGGGGCCTCCGGCGCAAGCTTATTAGTTAGATATTTAACTCGTGGTTTAGTGGTAAATTATTGAAGGTGGAGGGGTTACACTAGCCCCGTGTACCCGTCCAGAGCGCCCCGTTTAGCCCCTGTGGTGGACACGGACGCCGTGAGGGGAGAGGCCAAATCGGAATTGGGCCTCTCCCCCCACAGCATTGTCCACGACAGAGTTGCCCGTCCGTCACCGCGAGGAGGTTGAGGGTCGTTTCTTCAGGAGTATTGTTATCATTCACCATCACCAACATCACCATCATCATCATCACCTACATCACCACTACCACCACCATCATCATCATCACCTACATCACCACCATCACCACCATCACCACCACCACCACCACCTACATCACCACTACCACCACCATCATCATCATCACCTACATCACCACCATCACCACCATCATCATCATCATCACCTACATCACCACCATCACCACCATCATCATCATCATCATCACCTACATCACCACTACCACCACCACCATCATCATCATCACCACCATCACCACCACCATCATCATCACCACTACCACCACCACCACCACAACCACCACCACCATCACCACCACCACCATCACCACCATCACCATCACCACCATCACCACCATCACCACCATTACCACCATCACCACCACCACCATCACCACCACCATCACCACCACCACCATCACCACCACCATCACCACCACCACCTCCACCACCACCACAACCACAACCACCACCACCACCACCACCACCCACCACAACCACCACAACCACCATCACCACCACCACAACAACAACCACCACAACCACCACCTCCACCACCACAACCACCACCACCACCACCACCCACCAGGCCTGATAGTGGAGTCCCGCCCAAACAGGTGAAGCCTCCGACGTCCGAGGCAGAAGTGCTCCACGATGTGAAAGATCTCCTCCGGCTTCTCCGGAGGCATCGAACATCCGCCACCGCCTCCGCCGCCTCCTCCGCCATCGTCGCCGCCTCCACCGCCTCCTCCTCCGTCGCCTCCTCCTCCTCCACCGCCTCCACCGCCTCCTCCTCCACCGCCTCCACCGCCTCCTCCACCGCCTCCTCCACCGCCTCCTCCTCCACCGCCTCCACCGCCTCCTCCGATGCGTCCGCCCGTGCCGAGGCACGCGATGTCGTCCGACTCCTCGGCCATCAGCAAGTCGATGTCCACGTTGGCGTGGATGAAGTCGCCGTCCGTGGAGCGCCGCACGGTGCCGCGGATGCCCATCAGGCAGTGCTCCTGGCGGGTGGGGCGGTGGTGGTGGTGAGGTGAGTGAGGCGGTGGTGGCGGTGGTGGTGGTGAGGCGGTGAGTGAGTGGGGCGGTGAGTGAGGCGGTGAGGTAGTGAGTGAGGCGGTGAGGCGGTGGTGGTGGTGAGGCGGTGGTGAGTGGGCGAGGTGGTGAGTGGAGCGGTGAGTGAGGCGGTGGTGAGGTGGCGAGTGGGCGGGGCGGTGGTGAGTGGGGCAGTGAGTGAGGCGGTGAGGTAGTGAGTGAGGCGGTGAGGCGGTGGTGAGGCGGTGGTGAGGTGGTGAGGTGGTGAGTGGGTGGGTGAGTGGGTGGTGAGTGAGTGAGTGGTGAGTGGGTGAGTGAGTGGGTGAGTGAGTGGTGAGTGAGTGGTGAGTGAGTGGTGAGTGAGTGGGTGAGTGAGTGAGTGGTGAGTGAGTGGTAAGTGAGTGAGTGGTAAGTGAGTGAGTGAGTTGGTGAGTGAGTGGTGAGTGAGTGGTGAGTGAGTGGTGAGTGAGTGGTGAGTGAGTGAGTGAGTGGTGAGTGAGTGGGTGAGTGAGTGAGTGGTGAGTGAGTGAGTGAGTGCTGAGTGAGTGGTGAGTGAGTGAGTGAGTGGGTGAGTGAGTGAGTGGGTGGGTGAGTGAGTGAGTGGGTGAGTGGTGAGTGAGTGGTGAGTGGGTGAGTGAGTGGTGAGTGAGTGGTGAGTGAGTGGTGAGTGAGTGAGTGAGTGGTGAGTGAGTGAGTGGGTGAGTGGTGAGTGAGTGAGTGGGTGAGTGAGTGAGTGAGTGGTGAGTGAGTGGTGAGTGAGTGGTGAGTGGATGAGTGAGTGGTGAGTGAGTGAGTGGGTGGGTGAGTGAGTGAGTGAGTGGGTGAGTGGGTGAGTGAGTGAGTGAGTTGGTGAGTGAGTAGGTGGGTGAGTAGGTGAGTGAGTGGTGAGTGGTGAGTGAGTGGTGTGTGAGTGGGTGAGTGAGTGAGTGAGTGGTGAGTGAGTGAGTGAGTAGGTGGGTGAGTAGGTGAGTGAGTGAGTGAGTGGTGAGTGAGTGAGTGGTGAGTGAGTGGTGAGTGAGTGAGTGGTGAGTGAGTGGTGAGTGAGTGAGTGGGTGGTGAGTGAGTGAGTGAGTGGTGAGTGAGTGAGTGGTGAGTGAGTGAGTGGGTGAGTGAGTGAGTGAGTGGGTGAGTGGGTGAGTGAGTGAGTGGGTGAGTGAGTCAGTGAGTGGGTGAGTGTGTGTGTGGGTTGGTGAGTGAGTGGGTGAGTGGTGAGTGAGTGGGTGAGTGAGTGAGTGAGTGGGTGAGTGGGTGAGTGAGTGGGTGAGTGGGTGGTGAGTGAGTGGGTGAGTGGGTGAGTGAGTGGTGAGTGAGTGAGTGAGTGGTGAGTGAGTGGTGAGTGAGTGGTGAGTGTACTCACCTTAGTTCTCTGGAACACTGCTTGAGAGTCCAGGGTCCGTGTTGAACCGGGTTTCAGTTTGTTCGTCTTGATCCAACAGATATCTTCACAACGCCGGAATCCCCATTTACATAGACACTGCACATAGACACACACACATAGACACACACACAGACACACATACACTTAGACACACACACACACATAGACACACACACTTAGACACATACATAGACACACACACGTAGACACACACACACACATAGACACTGCACACAGACACACACACACATAGACACACACACAGACACACACACACAGATAGACACACACACAGACACACACATAGACACACACATTAGACACACATACACTTAGACACACACACTTAGACACACACATAGACACACACGTAGACACACACACACACATAGACACTGCACATAGACACACACACACACTTAGACACACACACAGATAGACACACACATAGACACACACATAGACACACACACAGACACACATATACACACACATATACACACACACACACTTAGACACACACACACATAGACACACACACACACTTAGACACACACACACACACTTAGACACACACACACATAGACACACACACACTTAGACACACACACACTTAGACACACACACACATTGACACACACACACACTTAGACACACACACACACAGACACACACACTTAGACACACACACACTTAGACACACACACACATAGACACACACACACACTTAGACACACACACACACTTAGACACACACACACATAGACACACACACACACTTAGACACACACACACATAGACACACACACACTTAGACACACACACACATAGACACACACACTTAGACACACACACACTTAGACACACACACACATAGACACACACACACACTTAGACACACACACACATACTTAGAGGCGTGGAGCTGTAGTGTAGCTGTAGTGTAGTGTAGCTGTAGTGTAGTTGTAGTGTAGCTGTAGTGTAGCTATAGCTGTAGTGTAGCTGTAGTGTAGTTGTAGTGTAGCTGTAGTGTAGCTGTAGTGTAGCTGTAGTGTAGCTGTAGTGTAGCTGTAGTGTAGCTGTAGTGTAGCTGTAGTTGAAGTAGCTGTAGTGTAGCTGTAGTGTAGTGTAGCTGTAGTGTAGCTGTAGCTGAAGTAGCTGTAGTGTAGCTGTAGTGTAGCTGTAGTGTAGTGGTAGCAGCTGTAGTGTAGCTGTAGTGTAGCTGTAGTTGAAGTAGCTGTAGTGTAGCTGTAGTGTAGCTGTAGTGTAGTGTATTTGTAGTGTAGCTGTAGCTGTAGTGTAGCTGTAGTGTAGCTGTAGTGTAGTGGTAGCAGCTGTAATGTAGCTGTAGTGTAGCTGTAGCTGAAGTAGCTGTAGTGTAGCTGTAGTGTAGCTGTAGTGTAGCTGTAGTGTAGCTGTAGCTGAAGTAGCTGTAGTGTAGCTGTAGTGTAGCTGTAGTGTAGCTGTAGCTGAAGTAGCTGTAGCTGAAGTAGCTGTAGTGTAGCTGTAGTGTAGCTGAAGTAGCTATAGTGTAGCTGTAGTGTAGCTGTAGTGTAGCTGTAGCTGTAGTGTAGCTGAAGTAGCTGTAGTGTAGCTGTAGTGTAGCTGTAGTGTAGCTGTAGCTGAAGTAGCTGTAGTGTAGCTGTAGTGTAGCTGTAGTGTAGCTGTAGTGTAGCTGTAGTGTAGCTGTAGCTGTAGTGTAACTGTAGCTGTAGTGTAGCTGTAGTGTAGCTGTAGTGTAGCTGTAGCTGAAGTAGCTGTAGCTGAAGTAGCTGTAGTGTAGCTGTAGTGTAGCTGTAGTGTAGCTGTAGCTGTAGTGCAGCTGTAGTGTAGCTATAGTGTAGCTGTAGCTGTAGTGTATCTGTAGTGTAGCTGTAGTAGCTGTACCTGTAGTGTAGATATAGCTATAGTGTAGCTGTAGTGTAGCTGTATCTGAAGTAGCTGTAGTAGCTGTAGCTGTAGTGTATCTGTAGCTGAAGTATCTGTAGCTGTAGTGAAGTGTAGCTGTAGTGTATCTGTACCTGTAGTAGCTGTAGTTGTAGTGTAGCTGTAGTGTATCTGTAGCTGTAGTGTAGCTGTAGTGTATCTGTAGCTGTAGCAGCTGTAGTAGCTGTAGCTGTAGTGTATCTGTAGATTAGTGTATCTGTAGCTGTAGCAGCTGTAGCTGTACCTGTAGTGTAACTGTAGTGTAGCTGTAGTGTATCTGTAGCTGTAGTGTAGCTGTAGTGTATCTGTAGCTGTAGTGTAGCTGTAGTGTATCTGTAGCTGTAGTGTATCTGTAGCAGCTGTAGTGTAGCTGTATCTGTAGCAGCTGTAGCTGTAGTAGCTGTAGCAGCTGTAGTGTAGCTGTATCTGTAGCTGAAGTAGCTGTAGCAGCTGTAGTGTAGCTGTATCTGTAGCTGAAGTAGCTGTAGTAGCTGTAGCAGCTGTAGTGTAGCTGTATCTGTAGCTGAAGTAGCTGTAGCTGTAGTAGCTGTAGCAGCTGTAGTGTAGCTGTATCTGTAGCTGAAGTAGCTGTAGCTGTAGTAGCTGTAGCAGCTGTAGTGTAGCTGTATCTGTAGCTGAAGTAGCTGTAACTGTAGTAGCTGTAGCAGCTGTAGTGTAGCTGTATCTGTAGCTGAAGTAGCTGTAGCTGTAGCAGCTGTAGTGTAGCTGTATCTGTAGCTGAAGTAGCTGTAGCAGCTGTAGTGTAGCTGTATCTGTAGCTGAAGTAGCTGTAGTAGCTGTAGCAGCTGTAGTGTAGCTGTATCTGTAGCTGAAGTAGCTGTAGTAGCTGTAGCAGCTGTAGTGTAGCTGTATCTGTAGCTGAAGTAGCTGTAGCTGAAGTAGCTGTAGTGTATCTGTAGCTGTAGTGTAGCTATAGCTGTAGTGTATCTGTAGCTGTAGCAGCTGTAGCTGTAGTGTAGCTGTAGTAGCTGTAGCAGCTGTAGCTGTAGTGTAGCTGTAGTAGCTGTAGTGTAGTGTAGCTGTAGTGTATCTGTAGCTGAAGTAGCTGTAGTGTAGCTGTAGTGTATCTGTAGTGTAGCAGTAGCTGTAGCTGTACCTGTAGTGTAGCTGTAGTGTATCTGTAGATTAGTGTAGCTGTAGCTGAAGTAGCTGTAGTGTAACTGTAGCAGCTATAGTGTAGCTGTAGTGTATCTGTAGTGTATCTGTAGCTGTAGTGTATCTGTAGATTAGTGTAGCTGTAGCTGTAGCAGCTGTAGCTGTACCTGTAGTGTAGCTGTAGTGTAGCTGTAGTAGCTGTAGTGTAACTGTAGTGTAGCTGTAGCTTAGTGTAGCTGTAGTAGCTGTAGCAGCTGTACCTGTCTGCCATAGTCAAGTCCATCGGACGAGCCGCACCACAGGAAGATGAAAGATCTTTGTGCAGCTATCTCCTCCACATCCAGCTGCATGATCTGGAATCATCATCATCATCATCAGTACTATCATCATCATCATCAGTAGTAGTATCATCATCATCAGTAGTAGTATCATCATCAGTAGTAGTATCATCATCATCAGTAGTAGTATCATCATCAGTAGTAGTAGTAGTATCATCATCAGTAGTAGTAGTATCATCATGATCAGTAGTAGTATCATCATGATCAGCATCAGTAGTAGTACTATCATCAGTACTGAGTGTTTAAAATGTGTGAGTGAGTGACTGAGTGAGTGAGTGGGTGAGTGAGTGAGTGACTGAGTGGGTGAGTGTCTGGGTGAGTGAGTGACTGAGTGACTGAGTGAGTGTCTGGGTGAGTGAGTGACTGAGTGAGTGACTGGGTGAGTGAGTGGGTGAGTGTCTGAGTGAGTGACTGAGCGAGTGAGTGACTGAGTGAGTGACTGAGTGACTGACTGACTGAGTGACTGAGTGAGTGAGTGACTGACTGAGCGAGTGAGTGACTGAGTGAGTGACTGAGTGACTGACTGACTGAGTGACTGAGTGAGTGACTGACTGAGCGAGCGAGTGACTGAGTGAGCGAGTGACTGACTGACTGAGTGTCTGGGTGAGTGACTGAGTGAGTGACTGAGTGAGTGTCTGGGTGAGTGACTGAGTGAGTGTCTGGGTGAGTGTCTGGGTGAGTGTCTGGGTGAGTGTCTGGGTGAGTGTCTGGGTGAGTGACTGGGTGAGTGTCTGGGTGAGTGTCTGGGTGAGTGTCTGGGTGAGTGTCTGGGTGAGTGTCTGGGTGAGTGTCTGGGTGAGTGTCTGGGTGAGTGTCTGGGTGAGTGTCTGGGTGAGTGTCTGAGTGAGTGACTGACTGAGTGAGTGACTGAGTGAGTGAGTGACTGAGTGTCTGGGTGAGTGAGTGAGCGAGTGAGTGACTGAGTGAGCGAGTGACTGGGTGAGTGTCTGGGTGAGTGTCTGGGTGAGTGACTGGGTGAGTGTCTGGGTGAGTGACTGGGTGAGTGTCTGGGTGAGTGTCTGGGTGAGTGACTGGGTGAGTGTCTGGGTGAGTGTCTGAGTGAGTGTCTGGGTGAGTGACTGAGTGAGTGACTAGGTGAGTGTCTGGGTGAGTGTCTCCCGCACGTCACCACCCACTCCTCACCTCCTCCCAGGTGAGTCCGTGACCTCCGATGGCTCCACCACCGCCTCTATAATATTCACTCAGAGGGGTGAGTGACTGACTGACTAAGTGACTGAGTGAGTGACTGAGTGAGTGACTGAGTGAGTGACTGACTGAATGACTGAGTGAGTGAGCGAGTGAGTGAGTGAGTGACTGAGTGACTGAATGACTGAGTGAGTGAGCGAGTGAGTGAGTGAGTGACTGAGTGACTGAATGACTGACTGACTGAGTGACTGACTGAGTGACTGAGTGAGTGACTGGGTGAGTGACTGGGTGAGCGAGTGAGTGAGTGACTGAGTGAGTGTCTGGGTGAGTGACTGGGTGAGTGTCTGGGTGAGTGTCTGGGTGAGTGTCTGGGTGAGTGTCTGGGTGAGTGTCTGGGTGAGTGACTGAGTGAGTGACTGAGTGTCTGAGTGACTGAGTGGGTGAGTGACTGAGTGAGTGACTGAGTGAGTGTCTGGGTGAGTGTCTGGGTGAGTGACTGAGTGAGTGACTGAGTGAGTGTCTGGGTGAGTGACTGAGTGAGTGACTGGGTGAGTGTCTGGGTGAGTGTCTCCCGCACGTCACCACCCACTCCTCACCTCCTCCCAGGTGAGTCCGTGACCTCCGATGGCTCCACCACCGCCTCTATAATATTCACTCAGAGGGGTGAGTGACTGACTGACTGACTAAGTGACTGAGTGAGTGACTGACTGAGTGTCTGGGTGAGTGTCTGGGTGAGTGTCTGGGTGAGTGACTGAGTGAGTGTCTGGGTGAGTGTCCGGGTGAGTGAATGAGTGAGTGACTGGGTGAGTGTCTGGGTGAGTGTCTGGGTGAGTGACTGAGTGAGTGACTGGGTGAGTGTCTGGATGAGTGTCTGGGTGAGTGACTGGGTGAGTGACTGAGTGAGTGACTGAGCGAGTGAGTGTCTGGGTGAGTGACTGGGTGAGTGTCTGGGTGAGTGACTGAGTGAGTGTCTGGGTGAGTGTCTGGGTGAGTGACTGAGTGAGTGTCTGGGTGAGTGTCTGGGTGAGTGTCTGGGTGAGTGACTGAGTGAGTGTCTGGGTGAGTGTCTGGGTGAGTGACTGAGTGAGTGTCTGGGTGAGTGTCTGGGTGAGTGTCTGGGTGAGTGTCTGGGTGAGTGTCTGGGTGAGTGTCTGGGTGAGTGACTGGGTGAGTGTCTGGGTGAGTGTCTGGGTGAGTGTCTGGGTGAGTGTCTGGGTGAGTGACTGAGTGAGTGACTGGGTGAGTGTCTGGGTGAGTGTCTGGGTGAGTGACTGAGTGAGTGAGTGACTGGGTGAGTGTCTGGGTGAGTGTCTGGGTGAGTGACTGAGTGAGTGTCTGGGTGAGTGACTGAGTGGGTGAGTGACTGAGTGAGTGTCTGGGTGAGTGACTGAGTGAGTGTCTGGGTGAGTGACTGAGTGAGTGTCTGGGTGAGTGTCTGGGTGAGTGTCTGGGTGAGTGTCTGGGTGAGTGACTGGGTGAGTGACTGAGTGAGTGAGTGAGTGAGTGTCTGGGTGAGTGTCTGGGTGAGTGTCTGAGTGAGTGACTGACTGGGTGAGTGTCTGGGTGAGTGACTGGGTGAGTGACTGGGTGAGTGTCTGGGTGAGTGTCTGGGTGAGTGAGTGTCTGGGTGAGTGTCTGGGTGAGTGTCTGGGTGAGTGTCTGAGTGAGTGACTGAGTGAGTGAGTGTCTGGGTGAGTGTCTGGGTGAGTGTCTGGGTGAGTGTCTGAGTGAGTGACTGACTGGGTGAGTGTCTGGGTGAGTGACTGGGTGAGTGACTGGGTGAGTGACTGAGTGAGTGACTGAGTGAGTGAGTGTCTGGGTGAGTGTCTGGGTGAGTGTCTGGGTGAGTGTCTGAGTGAGTGACTGACTGGGTGAGTGTCTGGGTGAGTGACTGGGTGAGTGACTGGGTGAGTGTCTGGGTGAGTGTCTCCCGCACGTCACCACCCACTCCTCACCTCCTCCCAGGTGAGTCCGTGACCTCCGATGGCTCCACCACCACCTCTATAATATTCACTCAAAGGGGGCTCAATGAGGATCACGTCAAATTTGGCCTGCAGCGAGGACAGCGGAAAGGCCGGGAGATCGGCCTGCAAGTACCTGGGGTGAGGGGTGAGGTGAGGGGGGGAGAGAGTGACTCACTCACTCACTCACCCACTCACTCACTCACCCACTTACTCACTCACCCACTCACTCACTCACTAACCGACCCACTCACTCACCCACTCACCCACCCACGCACTCACTCACTCACTCACCCACACACTCACCCACTCACTCACTCACTCACCCACTCACCCACTCACTCACTCACCCACTCACCCACACACTCACCCACTCACTCACCCACTCCCTCACACACCCACTCACTCACTCACTCACCCACTCACTCACTCACCTACTCACTCACCTACTCACTCACTCACCCACCCACCCACCCACTCACCCACTCACTCACACACTCACTCACTCACCCACCCACTCACCCACACACTCACTCACTCACTCACCCACTCACTCACTCACTCACCCACTCACTCACTCACCCACTCATCCACTCACTCACACACTCACTCACTCACCCACCCACTCACCCACACACTCACTCACTCACTCACCCACTCACTCACTCACCCACCCACTCACTCACTCACTCACCCACCCACCCACTCACTCACTCACTCACCCACTCACTCACACACTCACTCACTCACCCACCCACTCACCCACACACTCACTCACTCACTCACCCACTCACTCACTCACCCACCCACTCACTCACTCACTCACCCACCCACTCACTCACTCACTCACCCACTCACTCACTCACCCACTCACTCACTCACCCACCCACTCACTCACTCACTCACCCACCCACTCACCCACTCACTCACCTACTCACTCACTCACCCACTCACCCACTCACCCACTCACTCACTCACTCACCCACCCACTCACTCACTCACCCACACACTCACCCACTCACCCACTCACTCACTCACCCACTCACCCACACACTCACTAACCCACACACTCACCCACACACTCACACATTCACTGACCCACACACTCACCCACACACTCACTCACTCACTCACTAACCGACCCACTCACTCACTCAACCACTCACTTATAGAGTAGGTGAGTGAGTGAATAGGCGATTGAGTAGGTGGGTGAGTGGGTGAGTGAGTGGGTGAGTGAGTAGGTGAGTGAGTGGGTGAGTAGGTGAGCGAGTAGGTGAGCGAGTGAGCGAGTAGGTGAGTAGGTGAGTAGGTGAGTGAGTGAGCGAGTGGGTGAGTGAGTGAGTAGGTGAGTGAGTGAGTGGGTGAGTGAGTAGGTGAGTGAGTGGGTGAGTAGGTGGGTGAGTGAGTGAGTGGGTGGGTGAGTAGGTGAGTGGGTGAGTGGGTGAGTGAGTGGGTGAGTAGGTGAGTAGGTGAGCGAGTGGGTGAGTAGGTGAGTGAGTGAGCGAGTAGGTGAGCGGGTGGGTGAGTAGGTGAGTGAGTGGGTGAGTAGGTGAGTGAGTAGGTGAGTGAATGAGCGAGTAGGTGAGTAGGTGAGTGAGTGAGCGAGTGGGTGAGTGAGCGAGTGGGTGAGTGAGTGAGTAGGTGAGTGAGTGAGTAGGTGAGTGAGTGAGTAGGTGAGTGAGTGGGTGAGTAGGTGAGTGAGTGAGCGAGTGAGTGGGTGGGTGAGTAGGTGAGTAGGTGAGTGAGTAGGTGAGTGAGTGAGTAGGTGGGTGAGTGAGTAGGTGAGTGAGTGAGTGAGGAGGTGAGTGAGTGAGTAGGTGGGTGAGTGAGTGAGTAGGTGAGTGAGTGAGCGAGTAGGTGAGTGAGTGAGTGAGTAGGTGAGTGAGTGAGTGAGTAGGTGAGTGAGTGGGTGAGTAGGTGAGTGAGTAGGTGAGTGAGTGAGTGGGTGAGTGAGTGAGTGGGTGAGTGAGTGAGTAGGTGAGTGAGTGGGTGAGTGGGTGAGTGAGTGAGTGAGTAGGTGGGTGAGTGAGTGAGTGGGTGAGTGAGTGGGTGAGTGAGTGGGTGAGTGGGTGGGTGGGTGAGTGAGTGAGTAGGTGAGTGAGTAGGTGAGTAGGTGAGTGAGTGAGTAGGTGAGTGAGTGGGTGAGTGGATGGGTGAGTGAGTAGGTGAGTGAGTGAGTAGGTGAGTGAGTGAGTAGGTGAGTGAGTAGGTGAGTGAGTAGGTGAGTGAGTAGGTGAGTGAGTGAGTAGGTGAGTGAGTAGGTGAGTGAGTGAGTGAGTGAGCGAGTAGGTGAGCGAGTAGGTGAGTGAGTGAGTGAGCGAGTAGGTGAGCGAGTAGGTGAGTGAGTAGGTGAGTGAGTAGGTGAGTGAGTAGGTGAGTGAGTGAGTGAGTAGGTGAGTGAGTAGGTGAGTGAGTAGGTGAGTAGGTGACTGACTGAGTGAGTAGGTGAGTGAGTGAGTGAGCGAGTGGGTGAGTGAGTGAGTGAGTAGGTGGGTGAGTGAGTGAGTGGGTGAGTGAGTAGGTGAGTAGGTGAGTGGGTGAGTGAGTGAGTAGGTGAGCGAGTAGGTGAGTGAGTAGGTGAGTGAGTAGGTGAGTGAGTAGGTGAGTGAGTGAGTGAGTAGGTGAGTGAGTAGGTGAGTGAGTAGGTGAGTAGGTGACTGACTGAGTGAGTAGGTGAGTGAGTGAGTGAGCGAGTGGGTGAGTGAGTGAGTGAGTAGGTGGGTGAGTGAGTGAGTGGGTGAGTGAGTAGGTGAGTAGGTGAGTGGGTGAGTGAGTGAGTAGGTGAGCGAGTAGGTGAGTGAGTAGGTGAGTGAGTAGGTGAGTGAGTAGGTGAGTGAGTGAGTGAGTAGGTGAGTGAGTAGGTGAGTGAGTAGGTGAGTAGGTGACTGACTGAGTGAGTAGGTGAGTGAGTGAGTGAGCGAGTGGGTGAGTGAGTGAGTGAGTAGGTGGGTGAGTGAGTGAGTGGGTGAGTGAGTAGGTGAGTAGGTGAGTGGGTGAGTAGGTGAGTGAGTAGGTGAGTGAGTGAGTGGGTGAGTGAGTAGGTGAGTGAGTGAGTGAGTAGGTGAGTGAGTGGGTGAGTGAGTGAGTGAGTGAGTAGGTGAGTGAGTGAGTGAGTCTCACATGGGAGGACAGTTAGTATTAGCGATGAGTTCGTCTTTGAGACGAATTAACTCCCGAAGCTTCGGGTGAGTAGGTGAGTGAGTGAGTGGGTGAGTGAGTGAGTGGGTGAGTGAGTGAGTGAGTAGGTGAGTGAGTGAGTGAGTAGGTGAGTGAGTGGGTGAGTAGGTGAGTGAGTAGGTGAGTGAGTAGGTGAGTGAGTGAGTGAGTGAGTAGGTGAGTGAGTGAGTGAGTAGGTGAGTGAGTGGGTGAGTAGGTGAGTGAGTAGGTGAGTGAGTAGGTGAGTGAGTGAGTGAGTAGGTGAGTGAGTGGGTGAGTAGGTGAGTGAGTAGGTGAGTGAGTGGGTGAGTGAGTGAGTGAGTAGGTGAGTGAGTAGGTGAGTGAGTGAGTGAGTGGGTGAGTGAGTAGGTGAGTGAGTAGGTGAGTAGGTGAGTGAGTGAGTGAGTAGGTGAGTGAGTGAGTGAGTAGGTGAGTGAGTGAGTGAGTCTCACATAGGAGGACAGTTAGTATTAGCGATGAGTTCGTCTTTGAGACGAATTAACTCTCGGAGCTTCAGGTGAGTGGGTGAGTGAGTGAGTAGGTGAGTGAGTAGGTGAGTGAGTGAGTGACTGAGTGAGTAGGTGAGTGAGTAGGTGAGTGAGTGAGTGAGTCTCACATAGGAGGACAGTTAGTATTAGCGATGAGTTCGTCTTTGAGACGAATTAACTCTCGGAGCTTCAGGTGAGTGGGTGAGTGAGTGAGTAGGTGAGTGAGTGAGTGACTGAGTGAGTAGGTGAGTGAGTAGGTGAGTGAGTAGGTGAGTGAGTGAGTGAGTAGGTGAGTGAGTAGGTGAGTGAGTGAGTGAGTCTCACATGGGAGGACAGTTAGTATTAGCGATGAGTTCGTCTTTGAGACGAATTAACTCTCGAAGCTTCAGGTGAGTAGGTGAGTGAGTAGGTGAGTAGGTGAGTGAGTAGGTGAGTGGGTGAGTGATTGGGTGAGTGAGTGAGTGAGTAGGTGAGTGAGTGGGTGAGTGAGTGAGTGAGTAGGTGAGTGAGTAGGTGAGTGAGTGAGTGACTCTCACATGGGAGGACAGTTAGTATTAGCGATGAGTTCGTCTTTGAGACGAATTAACTCTCGAAGCTTCAGGTGAGTAGGTGAGTGAGTAGGTGAGTAGGTGAGTGAGTAGGTGAGTGGGTGAGTGATTGGGTGAGTGAGTGAGTGAGTGAGTAGGTGAGTGAGTGGGTGAGTGAGTGAGTGAGTAGGTGAGTGAGTGAGTAGGTGAGTGAGTGAGTAGGTGAGTGAGTAGGTGAGTGAGTGAGTGAGTCTCACATGGGAGGACAGTTAGTATTAGCGATGAGTTCGTCTTTGAGACGAATTAACTCTCGAAGCTTCGGGTGAGTAGGTGAGTGAGTGAGTAGGTGAGTGAGTGAGTAGGTGAGTGAGTGAGTAGGTGAGTGAGTGAGTGAGTAGGTGAGTGAGTGAGTAGGTGATTGAGTGAGTGAGTAGGTGAGTGAGTAGGTGAGTGAGTGAGTGAGTCTCACATGGGAGGACAGTTAGTATTAGCGATGAGTTCGTCTTTGAGACGAATTAACTCTCGGAGCTTCGGGTGAGTAGGTGAGTGAGTAGGTGAGTGAGAAGGTGAGTAGGTGAGTGAGTAGGTGAGTGAGTAGGTGAGTGAGTAGGTGAGTAGGTGAGTGAGTGAGTAGGTGAGTAGGTGAGTGAGTGAGTGAGTACGTGGGTGAGTGAGTGAGTAGGTGAGTGAGTGAGTAGGTGAGTGAGTAGGTGAGTGAGTAGGTGAGTGAGTGAGTGAGTAGGTGAGTGAGTAGGTGAGTGAGTAGGTGAGTGAGTAGGTGAGTGAGTGAGTAGGTGAGTGGGTGAGTGAGTAGGTGAGTGAGTAGGTGAGTGAGTGGGTGAGTAGGTGAGTGAGTAGGTGAGTGAGTGAGTGAGTAGGTGAGTGAGTGAGTAGGTGAGTGAGTGAGTGAGTAGGTGAGTGAGTAGGTGAGTGAGTGAGTGAGTAGGTGAGTGAGTGGGTGAGTAGGTGAGTGAGTAGGTGAGTGAGTGAGTGAGTAGGTGAGTGAGTGAGTAGGTGAGTGAGTGGGTGAGTGAGTAGGTGAGTGAGTGAGTAGGTGAGTAGGTGAGTGAGTGAGTGAGTCTCACATAGGAGGACAGTTAGTATTAGCGATGAGTTCGTCTTTGAGACGAATTAACTCTCGGAGCTTCGGGTGAGTAGGTGAGTGAGTAGGTGAGTGGGTGAGTGAGGAGGTGAGTGAGTAGGTGAGTGAGTGGGTGAGTGAGTGAGTGAGTAGGTGAGTGAGTGAGTGAGTGGGTGAGTGAGTAGGTGAGTGAGTAGGTGAGTGAGTGAGTCTCACATAGGAGGACAGTTAGTATTAGCGATGAGTTCGTCTTTGAGACGAATTAACTCTCGGAGCTTCAGGTGAGTAGGTGAGTGAGTAGGTGAGTGAGTAGGTGAGTGAGTAGGTGAGTGAGTGAGTGAGTAGGTGAGTGAGTAGGTGAGTGAGTAGGTGAGTGAGTGAGTGAGTAGGTGAGTGAGTAGGTGAGTGAGTGAGTGAGTGGATGAGTGAGTGAGTGAGTAGGTGAGTGAGTGAGTGAGTAGGTGAGTGAGTGAGTGAGTAGGTGAGTGAGTGAGTGAGTAGGTGAGTGAGTGGGTGAGTAGGTGAGTGAGTAGGTGAGTGAGTGGGTGAGTGAGTGAGTGAGTAGGTGAGTGAGTGGGTGAGTAGGTGAGTGAGTGAGTGAGTAGGTGAGTGAGTGGATGAGTGAGTGAGTGAGTAGGTGAGTGAGTGAGTGAGTAGGTGAGTGAGTGAGTGAGTAGGTGAGTGAGTGAGTGAGTAGGTGAGTGAGTGGGTGAGTAGGTGAGTGAGTAGGTGAGTGAGTGGGTGAGTGAGTGAGTGAGTAGGTGAGTGAGTGGGTGAGTAGGTGAGTGAGTAGGTGAGTGAGTAGGTGAGTGAGTGGGTGAGTGAGTGAGTGAGTAGGTGAGTGAGTGGGTGAGTAGGTGAGTGAGTAGGTGAGTGAGTGAGTGAGTCTCACATAGGAGGACAGTTAGTATTAGCGATGAGTTCGTCTTTGAGACGAATTAACTCTCGAAGCTTCGGGTGAGTAGGTGAGTGAGTGAGTAGGTGAGTGAGTGAGTGAGTAGGTGAGTGAGTAGGTGAGTGAGTGAGTGAGTAGGTGAGTGAGTGAGTGAGTAGGTGAGTGAGTGAGTGAGTAGGTGAGTGAGTAGGTGAGTGAGTGAGTCTCACATGGGAGGACAGTTAGTATTAGCGATGAGTTCGTCTTTGAGACGAATTAACTCTCGAAGCTTCAGGTGAGTGAGTGAGTGAGTAGGTGAGTGAGTAGGTGAGTGAGTAGGTGAGTGAGTGAGTAGGTGAGTGAGTAGGTGAGTGAGTAGGTGAGTGAGTGAGTGAGTCTCACATGGGAGGACAGTTAGTATTAGCGATGAGTTCGTCTTTGAGACGAATTAACTCTCGGAGCTTCGGGTGAGTAGGTGAGTGAGTGAGTAGGTGAGTGAGTAGGTGAGTGAGTGAGTGAGTAGGTGGGTGAGTAGGTGAGTGAGTAGGTGGGTGAGTAGGTGAGTGAGTAGGTGAGTGAGTAGGTGAGTGAGTGAGTTGGTGAGTGAGTGAGTGAGTAGGTGAGTGAGTGAGTGAGTGAGTAGGTGAGTGAGTGAGTGAGTCTCACATGGGAGGACAGTTAGTATTAGCGATGAGTTCGTCTTTAAGACGAATTAACTCCCGAAGCTTCAGGTGAGTAGGTGAGTGAGTAGGTGAGTGAGTAGGTGAGTCTCACATAGGAGGACAGTTAGTATTAGCGATGAGTTCGTCTTTAAGACGAATTAACTCTCGGAGCTTCGGGTGAGTAGGTGAGTGAGTAGGTGAGTGAGTGGGTGAGTAGGTGAGTGAGTGGGTGAGTAGGTGAGTGAGTAGGTGAGTGAGTGAGTGAGTCTCACATGGGAGGACAGTTAGTATTAGCGATGAGTTCGTCTTTGAGACGGATTAACTCTCGGAGCTTCGGGTGAGTAGGTGAGTGAGTAGGTGAGTGAGTGGGTGAGTAGGTGAGTGAGTGGGTGAGTAGGTGAGTGAGTAGGTGAGTGAGTGAGTGAGTCTCACATGGGAGGACAGTTAGTATTAGCGATGAGTTCGTCTTTGAGACGGATTAACTCTCGGAGCTTCGGGTGAGTAGGTGAGTGAGTAGGTGAGTGAGAAGGTGAGTAGGTGAGTGAGTAGGTGAGTGAGTAGGTGAGTGAGTAGGTGAGTAGGTGAGTGAGTGAGTAGGTGAGTAGGTGAGTGAGTGAGTGAGTACGTGGGTGAGTGAGTGAGTAGGTGAGTGAGTGAGTAGGTGAGTGAGTAGGTGAGTGAGTAGGTGAGTGAGTAGGTGAGTGAGTAGGTGAGTGAGTGAGTGAGTAGGTGAGTGAGTAGGTGAGTGAGTGGGTGAGTAGGTGAGTGAGTGAGTAGGTGAGTGAGTGAGTGAGTAGGTGAGTGAGTAGGTGAGTGAGTGAGTGAGTGGGTGAGTGAGTGAGTGGGTGAGTGAGTGAGTGGGTGAGTGAGTAGGTGAGTAGGTGAGTGAGTAGGTGAGTGAGTAGGTGAGTGAGTGAGTAGGTGGGTGAGTAGGTGAGTGAGTAGGTGAGTGAGTAGGTGAGTGAGTGAGTGAGTCTCACATGGGAGGACAGTTAGTATTAGCGATGAGTTCGTCTTTGAGACGAATTAACTCTCGGAGCTTCAGGTGAGTAGGTGAGTGAGTGAGTAGGTGAGTGAGTGAGTAGGTGAGTGAGTAGGTGAGTGAGTAGGTGAGTGAGTAGGTGGGTGAGTAGGTGAGTGAGTGAGTGAGTCTCACATAGGAGGACAGTTAGTATTAGCGATGAGTTCGTCTTTGAGACGAATTAACTCTCGGAGCTTCGGGTGAGTAGGTGAGTGAGTGAGTAGGTGAGTGAGTGGGTGAGTAGGTGAGTGAGTAGGTGAGTGAGTGAGTGAGTCTCACATGGGAGGACAGTTAGTATTAGCGATGAGTTCGTCTTTGAGACGAATTAACTCTCGGAGCTTCGGGTGAGTAGGTGAGTGAGTAGGTGAGTGGGTGAGTGAGTAGGTGAGTGAGTAGGTGAGTGAGTGAGTGAGTCTCACATGGGAGGACAGTTAGTATTAGCGATGAGTTCGTCTTTGAGACGAATTAACTCTCGGAGCTTCGGGTGAGTAGGTGAGTGAGTAGGTGAGTGGGTGAGTGAGTAGGTGAGTGAGTAGGTGAGTGAGTAGGTGAGTGAGTAGGTGAGTGAGTGAGTGAGTAGGTGAGTGAGTAGGTGAGTGAGTGAGTGAGTCTCACATGGGAGGACAGTTAGTATTAGCGATGAGTTCGTCTTTGAGACGAATTAACTCTCGGAGCTTCGGGTGAGTAGGTGAGTGAGTGAGTAGGTGAGTGAGTGGGTGAGTAGGTGAGTGAGTGAGTAGGTGAGTGAGTGAGTAGGTGAGTGAGTGAGTGAGTAGGTGAGTGAGTAGGTGAGTGAGTGAGTTGGTGAGTGAGTGAGTAGGTGAGTGAGTGAGTGAGTAGGTGAGTGAGTAGGTGAGTGAGTGAGTTGGTGAGTGAGTGAGTGAGTAGGTGGGTGAGTAGGTGAGTGAGTGAGTCTCACATAGGAGGACAGTTAGTATTAGCGATGAGTTCGTCTTTGAGACGAATTAACTCTCGGAGCTTCGGGTGAGTAGGTGAGTGAGTGAGTAGGTGAGTGAGTGGGTGAGTAGGTGAGTGAGTAGGTGAGTGAGTAGGTGAGTAGGTGAGTGAGTAGGTGAGTGAGTGGGTGAGTAGGTGAGTGAGTGAGTAGGTGAGTGAGTGAGTGGGTGAGTGAGTAGGTGAGTAGGTGAATGAGTCAGTAGGTGAGTGAGTAGGTGAGTGAGTGAGTAGGTGAGTGAGTGAGTAGGTGAGTAGGTGAGTGAGTGAGTGAGTAGGTGAGTGAGTAGGTGAGTGAGTGAGTGAGTAGGTGAGTGAGTGGGTGAGTAGGTGAGTGAGTAGGTGAGTGAGTGAGTGAGTCTCACATAGGAGGACAGTTAGTATTAGCGATGAGTTCATCTTTAAGACGAATTAACTCTCGGAGCTTCAGGTGAGTAGGTGAGTGAGTGAGTGGGTGAGTGAGTGAGTGAGTGGGTGAGTGAGTAGGTGAGTGAGTAGGTGAGTGAGTAGGTGAGTGAGTGAGTGAGTCTCACATGGGAGGACAGTTAGTATTAGCGATGAGTTCATCTTTAAGACGAATTAACTCTCGGAGCTTCGGGTATTCCTCGAAGCGATCGGCCAGACCTGGGGAGAGAGACAGTCAGGGATGATGACGATGATGATACTGATGATGATATTGATGATGATGATGATACTGATGATGATGATACTACTACTGATGATGATGATGCTGGTGATGATTATGATACTACAGATAATGATGATGATACTACTACTGATGATGATACTACTAATGATGATGATGATACTACTACTGATGATGATACTGATGATGATACTACTACTGATGATGATGATACTACTACTGATGATGATACTGATGATGATACTACTACTGATGATGATGATACTGATGATGATGATACTACTACAGATGATGATGAAACTGATGATGATACTACTACTACTGATGATACTACTGATGATGATGATACTGATGATGATACTACTACTGATGATGATGATACTACTACTGATGATGATACTACTACTGATGATGATGATACTACTACTGATGATGATGATACTGATGATGATACTACTGATGATGATACTACTGATGATGATACTACTGATGATGATGATACTACTGATGATGATGATACTGATGATGATGTTGCTACTCACCAACATCACGAATAAAGTTTTGTGGTCTCTGGCCGGTGTCCACGAAGTGTTGACAGTAATCATTGTGGGGATTCAGACTCTGGGTACCCTGTGAACAGCATCACCATCAGTAGTAGTATCATCATCACTATCAGTAGTAGTATCATCATCAGTATCATCATCATCAGCATCACCATCAGTAGTATCATCATCATCAGTATCATCATCATCAGTAGTAGTATCCTCATCATCATCAGTATCATCATCTGTATCATCATCATCAGTAGTATCATCATCATCAGTAGTAGTATCCTCATCATCATCATCATCAGTAGTGGAGTGATTATTTCTGGTTGTTCTGCTCACCTTTAGAAAGGTGCTAGAATCTTTATAATCCTCCTGCTTGAATATCTCCTGCATGTCATCCTGTGGCAACATCATCATCAGTAGTAACATCATCATCAGTAGCAACATCATCATCAGTAGTATCATCATCAGTAGTAGTATCATCATCAGTAGTAGTATCATCATCATCAGTAGTAGTATCATCATCATCAATAGTAGTATCATCATCATCAGTAGTAGTATCATCATCATCAATAGTAGTATCATCATCATCAGTAGTAGTATCATCATCATCAGTAGTATCATCATCATCATCAGCAGTAATATCACCATCACCACCACCACCATCACCACCACCACCACCACCATCACCACCACCACCATCACCACCACCATCACCACCACCACCATCACCACCACCACCATCACCACCACCACCACCACCATCACCACCATCACCATCACCACCACCATCACCACCACCATCACCACCATCACCATCACCACCACCATCACCATCACCACCACCACCATCACCACCACCACCACCATCACCACCACCACCACCACCACCATCACCACCATCACCATCACCACCACCACCACCATCACCACCACCATCACCACCATCACCACCACCACCATCACCACCACCACCATCACCACCACCATCACCACCACCACCATCACCACCACCATCACCACCACCATCACCACCACCATCACCACCACCATCACCACCACCACCATCACCACCATCACCATCATCACCACCACCACCACCACCATCACCACCACCATCACCATCACCACCATCACCACCACCACCATCACCACCACCATCACCACCACCACCATCACCATCACCACCACCATCACCACCACCACCATCACCACCACCACCATCACCACCACCATCACCACCACCACCATCACCATCACCACCACCATCACCACCACCACCATCACCACCACCATCACCACCACCACCACCACCATCACCACCACCACCATCACCACCACCATCACCACCACCATCACCACCACCACCATCACCACCACCACCACCACCATCACCACCATCACCATCACCACCACCATCACCACCATCACCATCACCACCACCACCATCACCACCACCATCACCACCACCACCACCATCACCACCACCATCACCACCACCACCACCATCACCACCACCATCACCACCATCACCTCACCATCATCACCACCACCACCATCACCACCACCACCATCACCACCACCACCATCACCACCACCACCATCACCACCACCATCACCACCACCACCATCACCACCACCATCACCACCACCATCACCACCACCATCACCACCACCATCACCACCACCACCATCACCACCATCACCATCATCACCACCACCACCACCACCATCACCACCACCATCACCATCACCACCATCACCATCATCACCATCACCACCACCACCATCACCACCACCACCACCATCACCACCATCACCACCACCATCACCACCATCACCACCACCACCACCACCATCACCACCACCACCATCACCACCACCACCACCATCATCACCACCATCACCACCACCACCATCACCACCATCACCTCCACCATCACCACCATCACCACCACCATCACCACCACCATCACCACCACCACCACCATCACCATCACCACCACCACCATCACCACCACCACCATCACCACCACCACCATCACCACCACCATCACCACCACCACCATCACCATCACCACCACCACCATCACCACCACCATCACCACCACCACCACCACCATCACCACCACCACCATCACCACCACCACCATCACCACCACCACCATCACCACCACCACCACCATCACCTCTTGGCTGCCCGGTGTGATGTTGATTTGAGACGCTGTTGACGATGGCGCTGTGGACGATCCTGGCGATGGGGCATCATCGCGCTTACGCTTGGATGACAATTCATCTAAAGGTGATCTATAAAACATCACCACCACCATCATCATCAGTATCATCATCAGTGTCATCTACATCATCAGTAGTAGACACTCACCCACTCACTCACCCACTCACTCACTCATCCACTCACTCACCCACCCACCCACTCACTCACTCACCCACCTACTCACTCACCCACCCACTCACTCATCCACTTACTCACTCACCCACTCACTCACCCACTCACTCACCCACTCATCCACTTACTCACTCACTTAATCACTCACCCACTCACTCACTCACTCACCCACCCACTCACTCAATCACTCACTCATCCACTCACTCACCCACCCACTCACTCACTCACCCACCCACTCACTCACTCACTCACCCACCCACTCACTCACTCACTCACTCACCCACCCACTCACTCACTCACTCACCCACCCACTCACTCACTCACCCACCCACCCACTCACTCACTCACCCACTCACTCACTCACTCACCCACTCACTCACTTACTCACTCACTCACCCACTCACTCACTCACCCACCCACTCACTCACCCACTCACCCACTCACTCACCTACTCACCCACCCACTCACTCACTCACTCACCCACTCACTTACCCACTCACCCACTCACTCACTCACCCACTCACTCACTCACCCACCTACTCATCCACTCACTCACTCACCCACTCACCCACTCACTCACCCACCCACTCACTCACTCACCCACTCACTCACTCACCCACTCACTCACCCACTCACCCACTCACTCAATCACTCACTCACTCACCCACCCACCCACTCACCCACTCACTCACTCATCCACTCACCCACTCACTCACTCACCCACCCACCCACCCACTCACTCACTCACTCACCCACTCACTCACTCACCCACCCACTCACTCACTCACCTACTCACTCACTCACTCACCCACTCACTCACTCACTCACCCACTCACCCACTCACTCACCCACTCACTCACTCACCCACTCACTCACCCACTCACCCACCCACTCACTCACTCACCCACTCACTCACCCACTCACCAACTCACTCACTCACCCACTCACCAACTCACTCACTCACCCACTCACTCACTCACCAACTCACTCACCCACCCACTCACCCACCCACTCACTCACTCAATCACTCACTCACCCACCCACCCACTCACTCACCACTCACTCACTCAATCACTCACTCACTCACCCACTCACTCACCCACTCACCCACCCACTCACTCACCCACTCACTCACCCACCCACTCAACCACTCACTCACTCACCCACTCACCCACTCACTCACCCACCCACTCACCCACTCACCCACTCACCCACTCACCTACTCACTCACTCACTCACCCACCCACTCACTCACTCACCCACTCACCCATTCACTCACTCACCCACTCACCCACTCACCTACTCACTCACTCACTGACCCACTCACTCACTCACTCACCCACCCACTCACTCACTCACCCACCCACTCACTCACTCACTCACCCACTCACTCACTCACTCACCCACTCACCCACCCACTCACCCACCCACCCACCCACTCACCCACTCACCCACCCACTCACTCATTCACCCACCCACTCACTCACCCACCCACTCACTCACCCACTCACCCACTCACTCACTCACCCACTCACCCACCCACTCACTCACCCACTCACCCACCCACTCACTCACTCACCCACTCACTCACCCACCCACTCACCCACCCACTCACTCATTCACCCACCCACTCACCCACCCACCCACTCACTCACCCACTCACTCACCCACCCACTCACTCACCCACTCACCCACTCACTCACCCACTCACTCACTCACCCACCCACTCACTCACTCACCCACTCACTCACTCACCCACTCACCCACCCACCCACTCACTCACTCACCCACCCACCCACTCACTCACCCACTCACCCACCCACTCACTCACTCACCCACTCACTCACCCACCCACTCACCCACCCACTCACTCACTCATCCACTCACCCACTCACTCACTCACCCACCCACCCACTCACTCACTCACCCACTCACCCACCCACTCACTCACCCACTCACCCACCCACCCACTCACCCACTCACCCACCCACTCACCCACCCACTCACCCACACACACACTCACTCACTCACTCACCCACTCACTCACTCACCCACTCACTCACTCACCTACTCACTCACTCACTCACCCACTCACTCACTCACTCACCCACTCACCCACTCACTCACCCACTCACTCACTCACCCACTCACCCACTCACTCACCCACTCACTCACTCACCCACTCACTCACCCACTCACCCACCCACTCACTCACTCACCCACTCACTCACCCACTCACTCACTCACCCACTCACCAACTCACTCACTCACCCACTCACTCACTCACTCACCCACTCACTCACTCACCAACTCACTCACCCACCCACTCACCCACCCACTCACTCACTCAATCACTCACTCACCCACCCACCCACTCACTCACCACTCACTCACTCAATCACTCACTCACTCACCCACTCACTCACCCACTCACCCACCCACTCACTCACCCACTCACTCACCCACCCACTCAACCACTCACTCACTCACCCACTCACCCACTCACTCACCCACCCACTCACCCACTCACCCACTCACCTACTCACTCACTCACTCACCCACCCACTCACTCACTCACTCACCCACTCACTCACTCACCCACTCACCCACTCACCTACTCACTCACTCACTGACCCACTCACTCACTCACTCACCCACCCACTCACTCACTCACCCACCCACTCACTCACTCACCCACTCACTCACTCACTCACCCACTCACCCACCCACTCACCCACTCACCCACCCACTCACCCACCCACCCACCCACTCACCCACTCACCCACCCACTCACCCATTCACCCACCCACTCACTCACCCACCCACTCACTCACCCACTCACCCACTCACTCACTCACCCACTCACCCACCCACTCACTCACCCACTCACCCACCCACTCACTCACTCACCCACTCACTCACCCACCCACTCACCCACCCACTCACTCATTCACCCACCCACTCACTCACCCACCCACTCACTCACCCACTCACTCACCCACCCACTCACTCACCCACTCACCCACTCACTCACTCACCCACTCACTCACTCACCCACTCACCCACCCACCCACTCACTCACCCACTCACCCACCCACTCACTCACCCACCCACTCACCCACCCACCCACTCACTCACTCACCCACCCACCCACTCACCCACCCACCCACTCACTCACTTACCCACCCACTCACCCACTCACTCACTCACCCACCCACCCACTCACTCACCCACCCACCCACCCCCCCACCACCACTCCACCACTCCACCACCACCCCACTCACCCCACTCCCCCACCCACCACTCACTCAACCCCCCAACCACCCACCACCCCCCCAATCACCCCCCCACCATCACCACCACCACCCACCCACCACCACCCCCCCACCCACCCACCACCACCCACCACCCACCCACCACCCACCCACTCACCCACCCCCCCACTCACTCACCCACTCACTCATTCACTAAGCTATTCACTCACCCCCCCACCCACCCCCCCCACCACCCCCCCACCCACCCACCACCCCCCCACCACCACCACCCACCCACCCACCTACTCACTCACCCACCCACTCACTCACCCACCCACTCACTCACCCACTCACTCAACCCCCCAACCACCCCCCACCCCCCCACTCACCCCCCCACCACCACCCCCCCACCACCACCACCCACCACCCCCCCACTCACCCCCCCACCACCACCCCCACCCACCCACTCACCCACCCCCCCACTCACTCACCCACTCACCCACTCACTCACCCACTCACTCACCCCCCCAACCACCCACCACCCCCCCACCCCCCCACCACCACCACCCACCCACCACCCACCCACCACCCACCCACCACCCACCCACCACCCACCGGTATGCACAGCGTAGAAGTTGAATTTCTCTCTGCTCAGCTTCGCTCCTCAACACCACCCACCCACTCACCCACTCACCCACTCACCCACTCACTCACTCACCCACCCACCCACTCACTCACCCACTCACTCACTCACCCACCCACCCACTCACTCACTCACTCACCCACCCACTCACTCACTCACCCACCCACCCACTCACCCACCCACTCACTCACCCACTCACTCACTCACTCACCCACTCACTCACTAAGCGATTCACCCACCCCCACCCACCCACTCACCCACCCCCCCACTCACTCACCCACTCAACCCACCACCCCCCCACCACCCCCCCACCCACCACCCACCACCCCCCCACTCACCCCCCCACCACCACCACCCACCCACCACCCACCCACCACCCACTCACCACCCACCGGTATGCACAGCGTAGAAGTTGAATTTCTCTCTGCTCAGCTTCGCTCCTCAACATCGCCCCCAGACCCTCAGGGCTCGCCACTCCCAGCTACACACGCAACAAGTACCACCACAAGTACCACCACAAGTATCACTAGTATCACCACAAGTACCACAAGTACCACCACAAGTATAACTAGTACCACAAGTATCACCACTAGTACCACAAGTACCACCACAAGTATCACTAGTACCACAAGTATCACCACAAGTACCATCACAAGTACCACCACAAGTACCACTAGTATCACAAGTATCACTAGTACCACAAGTATCACCACTAGTACCACAAGTACCACCACAAGTATCACTAGTACCACAAGTATCACCACAAGTACCATCACAAGTACCACCACAAGTACCACTAGTATCACAAGTATCACTAGTACCACAAGTATCACCACTAGTACCACAAGTACCACCACAAGTACCACCACAAGTATCACAAGTATCACTAGTACCACCACAAGTATCACTAGTACCACCACAAGTATCACTAGTACCACCACAAGTACCACAAGTACCACCACAAGTATCACTAGTACCACAAGTATCACCACTAGTACCACAAGTACCACCACAAGTACCACCACAAGTATCACAAGTATCACTAGTACCACCACAAGTATCACTAGTACCACCACAAGTATCACTAGTACCACCACAAGTACCACAAGTATCACCACAAGCACCACTACTAGTACCACTAGTATCACTAGTACCACCACAAGTACCACCACTAGTACCACAAGTATCACCACTAGTACCACCACTAGACCCTCAGGGCTCGCCACTCCCAGCTACACACGCAACTAGTACCACAACTAGTACCACCACAAGTATCACCACTAGTACCACCACAAGTATCACCACAAGTATCACCACTAGTACCACAACTAGTACCACCACTAGTACCACCACAAGTATCACCACAAGTATCACCACTAGTATCACCACTAGTACCACAACTAGTACCACCACAAGTATCACCACAAGTATCACCACTAGTACCACCACAAGTATCACCACTAGTACCACCACAAGTATCACCACAAGTATCACCACTAGTACCACAACTAGTACCACAACTAGTACCACCACAAGTATCACCACTAGTATCACCACTAGTACCACAACTAGTACCACAACTAGTACCACCACAAGTATCACCACAAGTATCACCACTAGTACCACAACTAGTACCACCACTAGTACCACCACAAGTATCACCACAAGTATCACCACTAGTACCACAACTAGTACCACAACTAGTACCACCACAAGTATCACCACAAGTATCACCACTAGTACCACAACTAGTACCACCACTAGTACCACCACAAGTATCACCACAAGTATCACCACTAGTACCACAACTAGTACCACCACTAGTACCACCACTAGTACCACCACAAGTATCACCACAAGTACCACCACTAGTACCACCACTAGTACCACCACAAGTATCACCACAAGTACCACCACAAGTACCACCACAAGTACCACTGAGTGTGTAGCTGGGTAGCTGAGTAGCTGTGTAGCTGGGTAGCTGAGTAGCTGTGTAGCTGTGTAGCTGAGTAGCTGTGTAGCTGTGTAGCTGAGTAGCTGGGTAGCTGTGTAGCTGTGTAGCTGGGTAGCTGAGTAGCTGGGTAGCTGAGTAGCTGGGTAGCTGTGTAGCTGTGTAGCTGGGTAGCTGTGTAGCTGGGTAGCTGGGTAGCTGTGTAGCTGGGTAGCTGTGTAGCTGGGTAGCTGTGTAGCTGTGTAGCTGGGTAGCTGAGTAGCTGAGTAGCTGTGTAGCTGAGTAGCTGGGTAGCTGTGTAGCTGTGTAGCTGGGTAGCTGTGTAGCTGGGTAGCTGGGTAGCTGTGTAGCTGGGTAGCTGTGTAGCTGAGTAGCTGTGTAGCTGAGTAGCTGAGTAGCTGGGTAGCTGAGTAGCTGAGTAGCTGGGTAGCTGTGTAGCTGTGTAGCTGGGTAGCTGAGTAGCTGGGTAGCTGAGTAGCTGTGTAGCTGGGTAGCTGAGTGTGTAGCTGGGTAGCTGAGTAGCTGTGTAGCTGGGTAGCTGAGTGTGTAGCTGGGTAGCTGAGTAGCTGTGTAGCTGAGTAGCTGTGTAGCTGGGTAGCTGTGTAGCTGGGTAGCTGTGTAGCTGGGTAGCTGAGTAGCTGTGTAGCTGAGTAGCTGGGTAGCTGTGTAGCTGTGTAGCTGGGTAGCTGAGTAGCTGTGTAGCTGGGTAGCTGAGTAGCTGTGTAGCTGAGTAGCTGAGTGTGTAGCTGAGTAGCTGTGTAGCTGAGTAGCTGTGTAGCTGGGTAGCTGAGTGTGTAGCTGAGTAGCTGAGTAGCTGTGTAGCTGAGTAGCTGTGTAGCTGGGTAGCTGTGTAGCTGGGTAGCTGTGTAGCTGGGTAGCTGAGTAGCTGTGTAGCTGAGTAGCTGGGTAGCTGAGTAGCTGAGTAGCTGTGTAGCTGAGTAGCTGGGTAGCTGAGTAGCTGTGTAGCTGTGTAGCTGGGTAGCTGTGTAGCTGAGTAGCTGTGTAGCTGTGTAGCTGGGTAGCTGTGTAGCTGAGTAGCTGAGTAGCTGGGTAGCTGAGTAGCTGAGTAGCTGAGTAGCTGGGTAGCTGAGTAGCTGGGTAGCTGAGTAGCTGTGTAGCTGGGTAGCTGAGTAGCTGGGTAGCTGTGTAGCTGAGTGTGTAGCTGAGTAGCTGTGTAGCTGAGTAGCTGGGTAGCTGAGTAGCTGGGTAGCTGTGTAGCTGAGTAGCTGAGTAGCTGTGTAGCTGTGTAGCTGGGTAGCTGTGTAGCTGAGTAGCTGAGTAGCTGGGTAGCTGAGTAGCTGAGTAGCTGAGTAGCTGGGTAGCTGAGTAGCTGGGTAGCTGAGTAGCTGTGTAGCTGGGTAGCTGAGTAGCTGGGTAGCTGTGTAGCTGAGTGTGTAGCTGAGTAGCTGTGTAGCTGAGTAGCTGGGTAGCTGAGTAGCTGGGTAGCTGGGTAGCTGAGTAGCTGTGTAGCTGAGTAGCTGGGTAGCTGAGTAGCTGTGTAGCTGGGTAGCTGAGTAGCTGTGTAGCTGAGTAGCTGAGTAGCTGGGTAGCTGAGTAGCTGTGTAGCTGTGTAGCTGGGTAGCTGTGTAGCTGAGTAGCTGAGTAGCTGTGTAGCTGGGTAGCTGAGTAGCTGTGTAGCTGAGTAGCTGGGTAGCTGAGTAGCTGTGTAGCTGGGTAGCTGAGTAGCTGTGTAGCTGAGTAGCTGAGTAGCTGGGTAGCTGAGTAGCTGTGTAGCTGTGTAGCTGGGTAGCTGTGTAGCTGAGTAGCTGAGTAGCTGTGTAGCTGAGTAGCTGGGTAGCTGAGTAGCTGAGTAGCTGTGTAGCTGGGTAGCTGAGTAGCTGGGTAGCTGAGTAGCTGTGTAGCTGGGTGGCTGAGTAGCTGGGTAGCTGAGTAGCTGTGTAGCTGGGTAGCTGAGTAGCTGAGTAGCTGGGTAGCTGTGTAGCTGAGTAGCTGTGTAGTTGAGTAGCTGGGTAGCTGTGTAGCTGGGTAGCTGAGTAGCTAAGTAGCTGCGTAGCTGGGTAGCTGAGTAGCTGGGTAGCTGAGTGTGTAGCTGGGTAGCTGAGTGTGTAGCTGAGTAGCTGGGTAGCTGAGTGTGTAGCTGGGTAGCTGAGTGTGTAGCTGAGTAGCTGGGTAGCTGAGTAGCTGGGTAGCTGGGTAGCTGAGTGTGTAGCTGAGTAGCTGTGTAGCTGAGTAGCTGAGTAGCTGTGTAGCTGGGTAGCTGTGTAGCTGTGTAGCTGGGTAGCTGTGTAGCTGTGTAGCTGGGTAGCTGAGTAGCTGTGTAGCTGAGTAGCTGGGTAGCTGTGTAGCTGTGTAGCTGGGTAGCTGAGTAGCTGTGTAGCTGGGTAGCTGAGTAGCTGTGTAGCTGAGTAGCTGTGTAGCTGGGTAGCTGAGTGTGTAGCTGAGTAGCTGTGTAGCTGAGTAGCTGGGTAGCTGAGTAGCTGGGTAGCTGAGTAGCTGGGTAGCTGTGTAGCTGAGTAGCTGAGTAGCTGGGTAGCTGAGTAGCTGAGTAGCTGTGTAGCTGGGTAGCTGAGTAGCTGGGTAGCTGAGTAGCTGTGTAGCTGAGTAGCTGTGTAGCTGAGTAGCTGGGTAGCTGTGTAGCTGTGTAGCTGAGTAGCTGGGTAGCTGAGTGTGTAGCTGAGTAGCTGTGTAGCTGAGTAGCTGGGTAGCTGAGTAGCTGGGTAGCTGAGTAGCTGAGTGTGTAGCTGAGTAGCTGTGTAGCTGAGTAGCTGGGTAGCTGAGTAGCTGAGTAGCTGGGTAGCTGGGTAGCTGAGTAGCTGTGTAGCTGAGTAGCTGGGTAGCTGAGTAGCTGTGTAGCTGGGTAGCTGAGTAGCTGTGTAGCTGAGTAGCTGAGTAGCTGGGTAGCTGAGTAGCTGTGTAGCTGTGTAGCTGAGTAGCTGTGTAGCTGTGTAGCTGGGTAGCTGTGTAGCTGAGTAGCTGAGTAGCTGTGTAGCTGAGTAGCTGGGTAGCTGAGTAGCTGAGTAGCTGTGTAGCTGGGTAGCTGAGTAGCTGGGTAGCTGAGTAGCTGAGTAGCTGTGTAGCTGGGTAGCTGAGTAGCTGGGTAGCTGAGTAGCTGAGTAGCTGGGTAGCTGTGTAGCTGAGTAGCTGTGTAGTTGAGTAGCTGGGTAGCTGTGTAGCTGGGTAGCTGAGTAGCTGTGTAGCTGAGTAGCTAAGTAGCTGAGTAGCTGGATAGCTGAGTAGCTGAGTAGCTGTGTAGCTGAGTAGCTGGGTAGCTGAGTGTGTAGCTGGGTAGCTGAGTGTGTAGCTGAGTAGCTGGGTAGCTGAGTGTGTAGCTGGGTAGCTGAGTGTGTAGCTGAGTAGCTGGGTAGCTGAGTAGCTGGGTAGCTGTGTAGCTGGGTAGCTGAGTGTGTAGCTGAGTAGCTGGGTAGCTGAGTAGCTGGGTAGCTGTGTAGCTGAGTAGCTGGGTAGCTGAGTGTGTAGCTGGGTAGCTGAGTGTGTAGCTGAGTGCGTAGCTGAGTGAGTGTGTAGCTGAGTGGGTAGCTGAGTGTGTAGCTGAGTGTGTAGCTGAGTGAGCATCTGAGTAGCTGTGTAGCTGAGTAGCTGGGTAGCTGAGTGTGTAGCTGGGTAGCTGAGTGTGTAGCTGAGTGTGTAGCTGAGTGTGTAGCTGAGTAGCTGTGTAGCTGAGTAGCTGGGTAGCTGAGTAGCTGAGTAGCTGGGTAGCTGGGTAGCTGAGTAGCTGTGTAGCTGGGTAGCTGAGTAGCTGTGTAGCTGGGTAGCTGAGTAGCTGTGTAGCTGAGTAGCTGTGTAGCTGGGTAGCTGAGTAGCTGTGTAGCTGTGTAGCTGAGTAGCTGTGTAGCTGGGTAGCTGAGTAGCTGAGTAGCTGTGTAGCTGAGTAGCTGGGTAGCTGAGTAGCTGAGTAGCTGTGTAGCTGGGTAGCTGAGTAGCTGGGTAGCTGAGTAGCTGAGTAGCTGGGTAGCTGAGTAGCTGGGTAGCTGTGTAGCTGTGTAGCTGAGTAGCTGAGTAGCTGGGTAGCTGAGTAGCTGGGTAGCTGAGTAGCTGTGTAGCTGTGTAGCTGGGTAGCTGAGTAGCTGAGTAGCTGTGTAGCTGGGTAGCTGAGTAGCTGTGTAGCTGAGTAGCTGGGTAGCTGGGTAGCTGTGTAGCTGGGTAGCTGAGTAGCTGTGTAGCTGGGTAGCTGAGTAGCTGGGTAGCTGGGTAGCTGAGTAGCTGTGTAGCTGAGTAGCTGTGTAGCTGGGTAGCTGAGTAGCTGTGTAGCTGGGTAGCTGAGTAGCTGGGTAGCTGGGTAGCTGTGTAGCTGGGTAGCTGAGTAGCTGAGTAGCTGTGTAGCTGAGTAGCTGTGTAGCTGGGTAGCTGAGTAGCTGGGTAGCTGAGTAGCTGAGTAGCTGGGTAGCTGTGTAGCTGAGTAGCTGTGTAGTTGAGTAGCTGGGTAGCTGTGTAGCTGGGTAGCTGAGTGTGTAGCTGGGTAGCTGAGTAGCTGTGTAGCTGTGTAGCTGAGTAGCTGTGTAGCTGTGTAGCTGGGTAGCTGTGTAGCTGAGTAGCTGAGTAGCTGTGTAGCTGAGTAGCTGGGTAGCTGAGTAGCTGAGTAGCTGTGTAGCTGGGTAGCTGAGTAGCTGGGTAGCTGAGTAGCTGAGTAGCTGTGTAGCTGGGTAGCTGAGTAGCTGGGTAGCTGAGTAGCTGAGTAGCTGGGTAGCTGAGTAGCTGAGTAGCTGGGTAGCTGTGTAGCTGAGTAGCTGTGTAGTTGAGTAGCTGGGTAGCTGTGTAGCTGGGTAGCTGAGTAGCTAAGTAGCTGAGTAGCTGGGTAGCTGAGTAGCTGGGTAGCTGAGTGTGTAGCTGGGTAGCTGAGTGTGTAGCTGAGTAGCTGGGTAGCTGAGTGTGTAGCTGGGTAGCTGAGTGTGTAGCTGAGTAGCTGGGTAGCTGAGTAGCTGGGTAGCTGTGTAGCTGGGTAGCTGAGTGTGTAGCTGAGTAGCTGGGTAGCTGAGTAGCTGGGTAGCTGTGTAGCTGAGTAGCTGGGTAGCTGAGTGTGTAGCTGGGTAGCTGAGTGTGTAGCTGGGTAGCTGAGTGTGTAGGTGAGTAGCTGAGTGTGTAGCTGAGTGCGTAGCTGAGTGAGTGTGTAGCTGAGTGGGTAGCTGAGTGTGTAGCTGAGTGTGTAGCTGAGTGAGTATCTGAGTAGCTGTGTAGCTGGGTAGCTGAGTGTGTAGCTGGGTAGCTGAGTGTGTAGCTGAGTGTGTAGCTGAGTGGGTAGCTGAGTGAGTAGCTGAGTGTGTAGCTGAGTAGCTGTGTAGCTGAGTAGCTGGGTAGCTGAGTAGCTGTGTAGCTGAGTAGCTGGGTAGCTGAGTAGCTGTGTAGCTGGGTAGCTGAGTAGCTGTGTAGCTGAGTAGCTGAGTAGCTGTGTAGCTGGGTAGCTGAGTAGCTGTGTAGCTGTGTAGCTGAGTAGCTGTGTAGCTGGGTAGCTGAGTAGCTGAGTAGCTGTGTAGCTGAGTAGCTGGGTAGCTGAGTAGCTGAGTAGCTGTGTAGCTGGGTAGCTGAGTAGCTGGGTAGCTGAGTAGCTGAGTAGCTGGGTAGCTGAGTAGCTAAGTAGCTGTGTAGCTGGGTAGCTGTGTAGCTGAGTAGCTGTGTAGCTGAGTAGCTGTGTAGCTGGGTAGCTGAGTAGCTGAGTAGCTGGGTAGCTGAGTAGCTGGGTAGCTGTGTAGCTGAGTAGCTGTGTAGTTGAGTAGCTGAGTAGCTGGGTAGCTGGGTAGCTGAGTAGCTGGGTAGCTGAGTGTGTAGCTGGGTAGCTGAGTGTGTAGCTGAGTAGCTGGGTAGCTGAGTGTGTAGCTGGGTAGCTGAGTGTGTAGCTGAGTAGCTGGGTAGCTGAGTAGCTGGGTAGCTGTGTAGCTGGGTAGCTGGGTAGCTGAGTGTGTAGCTGAGTAGCTGGGTAGCTGAGTAGCTGGGTAGCTGTGTAGCTGAGTAGCTGGGTAGCTGAGTGTGTAGCTGGGTAGCTGGGTAGCTGAGTGTGTAGGTGAGTAGCTGAGTGTGTAGCTGAGTGCGTAGCTGAGTGAGTGTGTAGCTGAGTGGGTAGCTGAGTGTGTAGCTGAGTGTGTAGCTGAGTGAGTATCTGAGTAGCTGTGTAGCTGAGTAGCTGGGTAGCTGAGTGTGTAGCTGGGTAGCTGAGTGTGTAGCTGAGTGTGTAGCTGAGTGGGTAGCTGAGTGAGTAGCTGAGTGTGTAGCTGAGTGTGTAGCTGATTGAGTGTGTAGCTGAGTGTGTAGCTGAGTGTGTAGCTGAGTGAGTGTGTAGCTGAGTGTGTAGCTGAGTGTGTAGCTGACTCACTGAGTGTGTAGCTGAGTGTGTAGCTGAGTGGGTAGCTGAGTGGGTAGCTGTGTAGCTGAGTGTGTAGCTGAGTGTGTAGCTGAGTGTGTAGCCGAGTGGGTAGCTGAGTGGGTAGCTGAGTGTGTAGCTGAGTGTGTAGCTGAGTGTGTAGCTGAATGGGTATCTGAGTGGGTAGCTGAGTGGGTAGCTGAGTGTGAAGCTGAGTGTGTAGCTGAGTGGGTAGCTGTGTAGCTGGGTAGCTGAGTGTGTAGCTGAGTGGGTAGCTGAGTGTGTAGCTGAGTGGGTAGCTGAGTGTGTAGCTGAGTGTGTAGCTGAGTGGGTAGCTGTGTAGCTGAGTGTGTAGCTGTGTGGGTAGCTGAGTGTGTAGCTGAGTAGCTGAGTGTGTAGCTGAGTGTGTAGCTGAGTGTGTAGCTGTGTAGCTGAGTGGGTAGCTGAGTGTGTAGCTGAGTGTGTAGCTGAGTGGGTAGCTGAGTGTGTAACTGAGTGGGTAACTGAGTAGCTGAGTGTGTAGCTGAGTGGGTAGCTGAGTGGGTAGCTGAGTGGGTAGCTGAGTAGCTGTGTAGCTGAGTGTGTAGCTGAGTGTGTAGCTGAGTGTGTAGCTGAGTAGCTGAGTGTGTAGCTGAGTGGGTAGCTGAGTGTGTAGCTGAGTGGGTAGCTGAGTGTGTAGCTGAGTGGGTAGCTGAGTAGCTGAGTGTGTAGCTGAGTGTGTAGCTGATTAGCTGAGTGGGTAGCTGAGTGGGTAGCTGAGTGTGTAGCTGAGTGGGTAGCTGAGTGGGTATCTGAGTGTGTAGCTGAGTGTGTAGCTGAGTGTGTAGCTGAGTGTGTAGCTTAGTGTGTAGCTGAGTGGGTAGCTGAGTGTGTAGCTGGGTAGCTGAGTGTGTAGCTGAGGGTGTAGCTGAGTGGGTAGCTGAGTGTGTAGCTGAGTGTGTAGCTGAGTGGGTAGCTGAGTGTGTAGCTGAGTGGGTAGCTGAGTGTGTAGCTGAGTGTGTAGCTGAGTGTGTAGCTGAGTGGGTAGCTGAGTGTGTAGCTGAGTGGGTAGCTGAGTGTGTAGCTGAGTGGGTAGCTGAGTAGCTGAGTGAGTATCTGAGTGGGTAGCTGAGTGTGTAGCTGAGTGGGTAGCTGAGTGTGTAGCTGAGTGTGTAGCTGAGTAGCTGAGTGAGTATCTGAGTGGGTAGCTGAGTGTGTAGCTGAGTGGGTAGCTGAGTGTGTAGCTGAGTGTGTAGCTGAGTGTGTAGCTGAGTGGGTAGCTGAGTGGGTAGCTGAGTAGCTGAGTGTGTAGCTGAGTGGGTAGCTGAGTAGCTGAGTGTGTAGCTGAGTGGGTAGCCGTGTAGCTGAGTATGTAGCTGAGTGTGTAGCTGAGTGAGTGTGTAGCTGAGTGTGTAGCTGAGTGTGTAGCTGAGTGTGTAGCTGAGTAGCTGAGTGTGTAGCTGAGTGTGTAGCTGAGTGGGTAGCTGAGTGTGTAGCTGAGTGTGTAGCTGAGTGGGTAGCTGACTCACTGAGTGTGTAGCTGAGTGTGTAGCTGAGTGGGTAGCTGACTCACTGAGTGTGTAGCTGAGTGTGTAGCTGAGTGTGTAGCTGAGTGGGTAGCTGAGTAGCTGAGTGGGTAGCTGAGTGGGTAGCTGAGTAGCTGGCTACCTGCTGTGCCAGCAGCTGCCTCCTGAGCTTCTGACGCTTCTTGATGTCACAAAGTCGCTTGTCCATGGGGAGACGCGGGGAGAGCTGAACACACTCGGACACACAGACAGACACAGACACATAGACACAGACACATAGACACACAGACAGACACAGAGAGACATAGACACAGACACACACAGACACAGAGAGAGAGACACAGAGAGACAGACACAGAGAGAGACACAGAGAGAGACAGAGAGAGAGACACAGAGAGACAGACACACAGAGACACAGACACAGAGAGACAGATACAGACAGAGACACAGACACACACACACACAGAGAGACAGAGAGAGACAGAGACACAGAGAGAGACAGAGACACAGAGACAGAGACACAGAGACACAGAGAGAGACAGAGACACAGAAACAGAGAGACAGAGACACACAGAGAGACAGAGAGACAGAGACACAGAGAGAGACAGAGACACAGAGAGAGAGACACAGACAGAGAGAGACACTAGTGAATGATAGTTAATGATGGTTAGTGATGGTTAGTGATGGTGGTTAGTGATGGTTAGTGGTGGTTAGTGATGGTTAGTGATGGTGATGGTTAGTGATGGTTAGTGGTGGTTAGTGATGGTTAGTGATGGTGAGTGATGGTGATGGTTAGTGATTGTTAGTGATTGTTAGTGATGGTTAGTGATGGTTAGTGGTGGTTAGTGATGGTTAGTGATGGATAGTGATGGTTAGTGATGGTGATGGTTAGTGATGGTTAGTGATGGTTAGTGATTGTTAGTGATGGTTGGTGATGGTTGGTGATGGTTGGTGATGGTTAGTGATGGTTAGTGATGGTTAGTGATGATGGTTAGTGATGGTTAGTGATGGTTAGTGATGGTGATGGTGATGGTTAGTGATGGTTAGTGATGGTGATGGTGATGGTTAGTGATGGTTAGTGATGGTTAGTGATGTTAGTGATGTTAGTGATGGTTAGTGATGGTGATGGTTAGTGATGGTTAGTGATGGTTAGTGGTGGTGGTTAGTGATGTTAGTGATGGTTAGTGATGGTGATGGTTAGTGATGGTTAGTGATGGTGATGGTTAGTGATGGTTGGTGATGGTTAGTGATGGTTAGTGATGTTAGTGATGGTTAGTGATGGTGATGGTTAGTGATGATAGTGATGGTTAGTGATGGTTAGTGATGTTAGTGATGGTTAGTGATGGTGATGGTTAGTGATGGTTAGTGGTGGTGGTTAGTGATGGTTAGTGATGGTTAGTGATTGTTAGTGGTGGTTAGTGATGGTTAGTGATGGTTAATGATGGTTAGTGATGGTTAGTGATTGTTAGTGATGGTTAGTGGTGGTTAGTGATGGTTAGTGATGGATAGTGATGGTTAGTGATGGTTAGTGATGGTGGTTAATGATGGTTGGTGATGGTTAGTGATGGATAGTGATGGTTAGTGATGGATAGTGATGGTGATGGTTAGTGATGATTAGTGATGGTTAGTGATGATGGTTAGTGATGGTTAGTGATGGTTAGTGATGATGGTTAGTGGTGGTTAGTGATGGTTAGTGATGGTTAGTGATGGTTAATGATGGTTAGTGATGGTTAGTGATGGTGATGGTTAGTGATGGTTAGTGATGGTTAGTGATGGTGGTTAGTGATGGTTAGTGATGGTTAGTGATGGTGATGGTTAGTGATGGTTAGTGATGGTTAGTGATGATGGTTAGTGATGGTTAGTGATGATGGTTAGTGGTGGTTAGTGATGGTTAGTGATGGTTAGTGATGGTTAATGATGGTTAGTGATGGTTAGTGGTGGTTAGTGATGGTTAGTGATGGTTAGTGATGGTGATGGTTAGTGATGGTTAGTGATGGTTAGTGATGATGGTTAGTGATGGTTAGTGATGATGGTTAGTGGTGGTTAGTGATGGTTAGTGATGGTTAGTGATGGTTAATGATTGTTAGTGATGGTTAGTGATGGTGATGGTTAGTGATGGTTAGTGATGGTGGTTAGTGATGGTTAGTGATGGTTAGTGATGGTTAGTGATGGTGATGGTTAGTGATGGTTAGTGATGATGGTTAGTGATGGTTAGTGATGGTTAGTGATGGTGGTTAGTGATGGTTAGTGATGGTTAGTGATGATGGTTAGTGATGGTTAGTGATGATGGTTAGTGATGGTTAGTGATGGTGATGGTTAGTGATGGTTAGTGATGGTTAGTGGTGGTGGTTAGTGATGTTAGTGATGGTTAGTGATGGTGATGGTTAGTGATGGTTAGTGATGGTGATGGTTAGTGATGGTTGGTGATGGTTAGTGATGGTTAGTGATGTTAGTGATGGTTAGTGATGGTGATGGTTAGTGATGATAGTGATGGTTAGTGATGGTTAGTGATGTTAGTGATGGTTAGTGATGGTGATGGTTAGTGATGGTTAGTGATGGTTAGTGGTGGTGGTTAGTGATGGTTAGTGATGGTTAGTGATGGTTAGTGATTGTTAGTGGTGGTTAGTGATGGTTAGTGATGGTTAGTGATGGTTAATGATGGTTAGTGATGGTTAGTGATTGTTAGTGATGGTTAGTGGTGGTTAGTGATGGTTAGTGATGGATAGTGATGGTTAGTGATGGTTAGTGATGGTGGTTAATGATGGTTGGTGATGGTTAGTGATGGATAGTGATGGTTAGTGATGGATAGTGATGGTGATGGTTAGTGATGATTAGTGATGGTTAGTGATGATGGTTAGTGATGGTTAGTGATGGTTAGTGATGATGGTTAGTGGTGGTTAGTGATGGTTAGTGATGGTTAGTGATGGTTAATGATGGTTAGTGATGGTTAGTGATGGTGATGGTTAGTGATGGTTAGTGATGGTTAGTGATGGTGGTTAGTGATGGTTAGTGATGGTTAGTGATGGTGATGGTTAGTGATGGTTAGTGATGGTTAGTGATGATGGTTAGTGATGGTTAGTGATGATGGTTAGTGGTGGTTAGTGATGGTTAGTGATGGTTAGTGATGGTTAATGATGGTTAGTGATGGTTAGTGATGGTTAGTGGTGGTTAGTGATGGTTAGTGATGGTTAGTGATGGTGATGGTTAGTGATGGTTAGTGATGGTTAGTGATGGTTAGTGATGATGGTTAGTGATGGTTAGTGATGATGGTTAGTGGTGGTTAGTGATGGTTAGTGATGGTTAGTGATGGTTAATGATGGTTAGTGATGGTTAGTGATGGTGATGGTTAGTGATGGTTAGTGATGGTTAGTGATGGTGGTTAGTGATGGTTAGTGATGGTTAGTGATGGTGATGGTTAGTGATGGTTAGTGATGGTTAGTGATGATGGTTAGTGATGGTTAGTGATGATGGTTAGTGGTGGTTAGTGATGGTTAGTGATGGTTAGTGATGGTTAATGATGGTTAGTGATGGTTAGTGATGGTTAGTGGTGGTTAGTGATGGTTAGTGATGGTTAGTGATGGTGATGGTTAGTGATGGTTAGTGATGGTTAGTGATGGTTAGTGATGATGGTTAGTGATGGTTAGTGATGATGGTTAGTGGTGGTTAGTGATGGTTAGTGATGGTTAGTGATGGTTAATGATTGTTAGTGATGGTTAGTGATGGTGATGGTTAGTGATGGTTAGTGATGGTTAGTGATGGTGGTTAGTGATGGTTAGTGATGGTTAGTGATGGTTAGTGATGGTGATGGTTAGTGATGGTTAGTGATGATGGTTAGTGATGGTTAGTGATGGTTAGTGATGGTGGTTAGTGATGGTTAGTGATGGTTAGTGATGGTGATGGTTAGTGATGGTTAGTGATGGTTAGTGATGATGGTTAGTGATGGTTAGTGATGATGGTTAGTGGTGGTTAGTGATGGTTAGTGATGGTTAATGATGGTTAGTGATGGTTAGTGGTGGTTAGTGATGGTTAGTGGTGGTTAGTGGTGGTTAGTGATGGTTAGTGTTGGTTAGTGATGGTTAGTGATGGTTGGTGATGGTTAGTGATGGTTAGTGATGGTTAGTGATGATGGTTAGTGATGATGGTTAGTGATGGTTAGTGGTGGTTAATGATGGTTAGTGATGGTTAGTGTTGGTTAGTGATGGTTAGTGATGGTTAGTGATGGTTAGTGATGGTGGTTAGTGATGGTTAGTGATGGTGGTTAGTGATGGTTAGTGGTGGTTAGTGATGGTTAGTGATGGTTAGTGATGGTGATGGTTAGTGATGGTTAGTGGTGGTTAGTGATGGTTAGTGATGGTGAGTGATGGTTAGTGATTGTTAGTGATTGTTAGTGATGGTTAGTGATGGTTAGTGGTGGTTAGTGATGGTTAGTGATGGATAGTGATGGTTAGTGATGGTGATGGTTAGTGATGGTTAGTGATGGTTAGTGATTGTTAGTGATGGTTGGTGATGGTTGGTGATGGTTGGTGATGGTTAGTGATGGTTAGTGATGATGGTTAGTGATGGTTAGTGATGGTTAGTGATGGTGATGGTGATGGTTAGTGATGGTTAGTGATGGTTAGTGATGGTTAGTGATGTTAGTGATGGTTAGTGATGGTGATGGTTAGTGATGGTTAGTGATGGTTAGTGGTGGTGGTTAGTGATGTTAGTGATGGTTAGTGATGGTGATGGTTAGTGATGGTTAGTGATGGTGATGGTTAGTGATGGTTGGTGATGGTTAGTGATGGTTAGTGATGTTAGTGATGGTTAGTGATGGTGATGGTTGGTGATGATAGTGATGGTTAGTGATGGTTAGTGATGTTAGTGATGGTTAGTGATGGTGATGGTTAGTGATGGTTAGTGATGGTTAGTGGTGGTGGTTAGTGATGGTTAGTGATGGTTAGTGATGGTTAGTGATTGTTAGTGGTGGTTAGTGATGGTTAGTGATGGTTAGTGATGGTTAATGATGGTTAGTGATGGTTAGTGATTGTTAGTGATGGTTAGTGGTGGTTAGTGATGGTTAGTGATGGATAGTGATGGTTAGTGATGGTTAGTGATGGTGGTTAATGATGGTTGGTGATGGTTAGTGATGGATAGTGATGGTTAGTGATGGATAGTGATGGTGATGGTTAGTGATGATTAGTGATGGTTAGTGATGATGGTTAGTGATGGTTAGTGATGGTTAGTGATGATGGTTAGTGGTGGTTAGTGATGGTTAGTGATGGTTAGTGATGGTTAATGATGGTTAGTGATGGTTAGTGATGGTGATGGTTAGTGATGGTTAGTGATGGTGGTTAGTGATGGTTAGTGATGGTTAGTGATGGTGATGGTTAGTGATGGTTAGTGATGGTTAGTGATGATGGTTAGTGATGGTTAGTGATGATGGTTAGTGGTGGTTAGTGATGGTTAGTGATGGTTAATGATGGTTAGTGATGGTTAGTGATGGTTAGTGGTGGTTAGTGATGGTTAGTGATGGTTAGTGATGGTGATGGTTAGTGATGGTTAGTGATGGTTAGTGATGATGGTTAGTGATGGTTAGTGATGATGGTTAGTGGTGGTTAGTGATGGTTAGTGATGGTTAGTGATGGTTAATGATTGTTAGTGATGGTTAGTGATGGTGATGGTTAGTGATGGTTAGTGATGGTTAGTGATGGTGGTTAGTGATGGTTAGTGATGGTTAGTGATGGTGATGGTTAGTGATGGTTAGTGATGATGGTTAGTGATGGTTAGTGATGGTTAGTGATGGTGGTTAGTGATGGTTAGTGATGGTTAGTGATGGTGATGGTTAGTGATGGTTAGTGATGATGGTTAGTGATGGTTAGTGATGATGGTTAGTGGTGGTTAGTGATGGTTAATGATGGTTAGTGATGGTTAGTGGTGGTTAGTGATGGTTAGTGGTGGTTAGTGGTGGTTAGTGATGGTTAGTGTTGGTTAGTGATGGTTAGTGATGGTTGGTGATGGTTAGTGATGGTTAGTGATGATGGTTAGTGATGATGGTTAGTGATGGTTAGTGATGGTTAGTGATTGTTAGTGATTGTTAGTGATGGTTAGTGGTGGTTAGTGATGGTTAGTGAAGGTTAGTGATGGTTAATGATGGTTAGTGATGGTTAGTGATGGTTAGTGATGGCTAGTGATGGTTAGTGATGGTTGATGATGGTTGATGATGGTTAGTGATGGTTAGTGATGGTGATGGTTAGTGATGGTTAGCGATGATGGTTAGTGATGGTTAGTGATGGTTTGTGATGGTTAGTGATGGTTAGTGATGGTTAGTGATAGTTAGTGATGGTTAGTGATGGTTAGTGATGGTGATGGTTAGTGATGGTTAGCGATGATGGTTAGTGATGGTTAGTGATGGTTAGTGGTGGTTAGTGATGGTGGTTAGTGATGGTTAGTGATGGTTAGTGATGGTGATGGTTAGTGATGGTTAGTGATGGTTAGTGATGGTTAGTGATGGTGGTTAGTGATGGTGATGGTTAGTGATGGTTAGTGATGGTGATGGTTAGTGATGGTTAGTGATGATGGTTAGTGATGGTTAGTGATGGTTAGTGATGGTTAGTGATGGCTAGTGATGGTTAGTGATGGTTGATATTGGTTGATATTGGTTGATGATGGTTAGTGATGGTTAGTGATGGTGATGGTTAGTGATGGTTAGTGATGGTTAGTGATGGTGATGGTTAGTGATGGTTAGCGATGATGGTTAGTGATGGTTAGTGATGGTTTGTGATGGTTAGTGATGGTTAGTGATGGTTAGTGATAGTTAGTGATGGTTAGTGATGGTTAGTGATGGTTAGTGGTGGTTAGTGATGGTGGTTAGTGATGGTTAGTGATGGTTAGTGATGGTTAGTGATGATGGTTAGTGATGGTTAGTGATGGTTAGTGATGGTGGTTAGTGATGGTGATGGTTAGTGATGGTTAGTGATGGTGATGGTTAGTGATGGTTAGTGATGATGGTTAGTGATGGTGATGGTTAGTGATGGTGATGGTTAGTGATGGTTAGTGATGGTTAGTGATGGTGATGGTTAGTGATGGTTAGTGATGGTTAGTGATTGTTAGTGATGGTTAGTGATTGTTAGTGATTGTTAGTGATGGTTAGTGATGGTTAGTGGTGGTTAGTGATGGTTAGTGATGGTGATGGTTAGTGATGGTTAGTGATGGTGATGGTTAGTGATGGTTAGTGATGGTTAGTGATGGTTAGTGATGGTGATGGTTAGTGATGGTTAGTGATGGTTAGTGGTGGTTAGTGATGGTTAGTGATGGTTAGTGATGGTGATGGTTAGTGATGGTTAGTGATGATGGTTAGTGATGGTTAGTGATGGCTAGTGATGGTTAGTGATGGTGATGGTTGGTGATGGTTGGTGATGGTTAGTGATGGTTAGTGATTGTTAGTGATGGTTAGTGATGGTGATGGTTAGTGATGGTTAGTGATGGTTAGTGATAGTTAGTGATTGTTAGTGATTGTTAGTGATGGTTAGTGATGGTTAGTGATGGTTAATGATGGTTAGTGGTTAGTAGTTAGTGATGGTTAGTGATGGTTAGTGATGGTGATGGTTAGTGATGGTTAGTGGTGGTTAGTGATGGTTAGTGGTGGTTAGTGATGGTTAGTGATGGTTAGTGATAGTTAATGATGGTTAGTGATGGTTAGTGATGGCGACTGATGGTGAATGATGTTGAATGAAATGCTGAGGAGAATTTAAAAGAGTTCGCTCACGAAGTCAAGTTGACGTTGCTGGTGAACGTTGATCGTTGATGTCGTTGATGTTTGTTGTTGTTATTTGATGTTATTTGTTGTTATTTGTTGTTGTTGATTCGCGAAATCCGCGCTGAGGAGGCGCTTGGCGGGAATCCGAGACGAACGGGATGGATATCGCGGCCTTCTAACGCTTCCGGAAGATCGGGTCGCGTTTTAGCGACGCCGCTACTGAGGTTTTACATAGCCTGCAGTCTTCCGGAAGATGTATTCTGCTTCCGGAAAGAATGGGTCGCGTTTTAGCGACGCCGCTTCTGAAGTCTAACCCTAGCCTGCCGTCTTCCGGAAGATGTATTGCGCTACCGGAAGATCGGGTCAGGTTTTAGTGACGCCGCTTCTGAAGTTTAACCTAGCCTGCCGTCTTCCGGAAGATGAATTCCGCTACCGGAAGATTGGGTTCGGTTTTAGAGACGCCGCTTCTGAAGTTTTTAACCTAGCCTGCCGTCTTCCGGAAGATGTATTCCGCTGCCGGAAGAAGGGGGCGGGTTTTAGCGACGCCGCTTCTGAAGTCTAACCCTAGCCTGCCGTCTTCCGGAAGATGTATTGCGCTACCGGAAGATCGGGTCAGGTTTTAGTGACGCCGCTTCTGAAGTTTAACCTAGCCTGCCGTCTTCCGGAAGATGAATTCCGCTACCGGAAGATTGGGTTCGGTTTTAGAGACGCCGCTTCTGAAGTTTTTAACCTAGCCTGCCGTCTTCCGGAAGATGTATTCCGCTGCCGGAAGAAGGGGGCGGGTTTTAGCGACGCCGCTTCTGAAGTTTAACCCTAGCCTGCTGTCTTCCGGAAGATGCATTCCGCTTCCGGAAGATCGGGTCAGGTTTTATTTACGCCGCTTCTGAAATTTAACCCTAGCCTGCCGTCTTCCGGAAGATGAATTCCGCTTCCGGAAAATCGGTTCGTGTTTTAGCGACGCTGCTTCTGAAGTTTAACGTAGCCTGCCGTCTTCCGGAAGATGTATTCCGCTTCCGGAAGAAGAGAACTCACGGTCTTCCGGAAGGTGAGAGAGTTGTTGTTTTATTGGTCTTCCGGAAGACGCATTCGCTTCTTCTTCCGGAAGTTTGTTAAATGAGTTACGTCACCGCTGCTAACGTCATCACCAACACTAACAACATCAACATCATCACCACCACCACCATCACCACCATCACCATCATCATCACCACCATCACCACCATCACCACCATCATCACCATCACCACCATCATCACCACCACCCATCACCATCACCACCATCATCACCATCACCACCACCATCATCACCACCATCACCATCATCACCATCACCACCATCACCACCATCATCATCACCACCATCACCACCATCACCACCACCATCACCACCATCACCATCACCACCACCATCACCACCACCATCACCATCATCACCACCACCATCATCACCACCATCACCATCATCACCACCACCACCATCACCACCATCACCATCATCATCACCACCATCACCACTAACATCACCACCATCACCATCATCACCATCACCATCACCACCATCATCACCACCATCACCACCACCATCACCATCATCACCACCACCATCATCACCACCATCACCATCATCACCACCATCACCACCACCATCACCACCATCACCACCATCACCATCATCACCATCACCACCACCATCACCACCATCATCACCATCACCACCACCATCACCACCATCATCACCATCACCACCATCATCACCACCACCATCATCACCACCACCATCACCACCACCATCACCATCATCATCACCACCATCACCATCATCATCACCACCATCACCACCATCACCATCATCTCCACCATCATCATCACCACCATCACCACCATCACCACCATCATCACCACCACCATCACCATCACCACCACCACCATCACCACCATCATCACCATCACCACCATCATCACCACCATCACCATCATCACCATCACCACCATCACCACCATCATCATCACCATCACCACCACCATCACCATCATCACCACCACAATCATCACCACCATCACCATCATCACCACCATCACCACTAACATCACCATCATCACCATCACCATCATCACCACCACCATCATCACCACCATCACCATCACCACCACCATCACCACCACCACCACCATCATCGCCATCATCACCACCACTAACATCATCCCCATCATCACCAACACTAACATCATCATCACCACCACCACTACCATCACCACCATCACCATCATCACCACCATCATCACCACCATCACCACCATCACCACCATCACCATCATCACCACCATCATCACCAACACTAACATCATCATCACCACCATCACCACCATCACCACCATCACCACCATCACCACCATCATCACCATCACCACCATCACCATCATCACCACCACCACCATCATCACCACCATCATCACCATCACCACCACCACCATCATCATCATCACCACCACCACCATCATCACCACAACTCAGACAATGGACACTAACGAGTTTTTATTGATAGATTAGCATAACAATGATCACAGTAATTAACATTAAAGTTGCACTATAAAGCCAGGAGACATCACCACCATCACCACCACCATCACCAACATCACCACCATCACCACCACCATCACCAACATCACCAACATCATCACCATCACCAACATCACCAACATCATCACCATCACCAACATCACCACCATCACCACCACCATCACCAACATCACCAACATCATCACCATCATCAACATCACCAACATCACCACCATCACCATCATCACCACCATCATCACCACCATCATCACCACCATCATCATCACCACCATCATCACCACCACCATCACCATCACCACCATCATCATCACCACCATCACCATCATCACCACCAACACCACCATCACCACCACCATCACCATCATCACCACCACCACCATCACCACCACCATCATCATCACCACAACTCAGACAATGGACACTAACGAGTTTTTATTGATAGATTAGCATAACAATGGTCACAATAATTAACATTAAAGTTGCACTATAAAGCCAGGAGACATCACCACCATCACCACCATCACCACCATCACCAACATCACCACCATCACCATCACCAACATCACCACCATCACCACCACCACCACCAACATCACCACCATCACCACCATCACCACCATCACCATCACCACCATCACCACCACCACCATCACCACCATCACCATCACCACCATCACCACCACCATCACCATCACCACCATCATCACCACCACCACCATCACCACCATCACCACCACCATCATCACCACAACTCAGACATTGGACACTAACGAGTTTTTATTGATAGATTAGCATAACAATGATCACAATAATTAACATTAAAGTTGCACTATAAAGCCAGGAGACATCACCACCATCACCAACATCACCACCATCACCACCACCACCAACATCATCACCACCACCACCACCAACATCATCACCATCACCAACATCACCAACATCAACAACAACAACACCATGGAATGGTTTGGGCATCAAATCTGGTGCCCTGGCAAACAGAGACACAGACACAGAGAGACACAGAGACAGAGAGACAGAGAGAGAGACACAGAGAGACAGAGAGACACACAGAGACAGAGAGATACACAGACAGAGACACACACAGAGACAGAGACACACAGAGACACACACACAGAGACAGAGAGACACACAGAGACACACACAGACACACACACACAGAGACAGAGACACACAGAGACACACACACAGAGACAGAGAGACACACACACACAGACACACACACACAGAGACACACAGAGAGACACACAGAGAGACACACAGAGACAGAGAGACACACAGAGAGACACAGAGAGACAGAGAGACACACAGAGACGCACAGAGACACACACACAGAGAGACACACAGAGACACAGACACACACACAGAGACACGGAGACACACACAGAGACACACACACACACACAGAGACACAGAGACACACACAGAGACACACACACAGAGACAGAGACACAGAGAGAGACACACACAGAGACACACACAGAGACACAGAGAGACACACACAGAGACAGAGAGACACAGAGAGACACACAGAGACAGAGACACACAGAGACACACAGAGAGACACACACAGAGACACACACAGAGAGACAGACACAGACAGAGAGGCACAGAGAGACACACAGAGAGACACACACACAGAGACAGAGAGACACACACAGACACACACACACACACAGAGACACAGAGACAGAGAGACACAGAGAGACACAGACACACACAGACAGACACACACACAGAGACAGAGAGACACACACAGAGACACACACACAGAGACAGAGAGACACACACAGGGACACACACACAGAGACACACACACAGAGACACACACACACAGAGACACAGACACACAGAGACACACACACACAGAGACAGAGACACACACACAGAGACAGAGACACACACAGAGACAGAGACACACACACAGAGACAGAGAGACACACAGAGACACAGAGACACACACACACAGAGACACAGAGAGACACACAGAGACACACACACACAGATAGAGAGACACACAGAGATAGAGAGACACACACATAGACACAGACATACATAGACACAGAGAGACAGACAGAGACACAGAGAGACACACACAGACAGAGACCCAGAGAGACAGAATTACACACACACAGAGACACACACAGACACACACATAGAGACACACACACAGATAGAGAGAGACACACACAGAGAGACACAGAGACAGACACACAGGGAGACACAAATAGACACAGAGAGAGAGATACAGAGAGACACGGGAGGGAGACAAAGGCGGACAGGACACGCTATAGATATGAATAGAGACTATAAGAGTCACACCCACTGAGAGAATGTTTCTGCTTTACACCAAGACATTTCTTACAAGACTCATTTGAAGCCACACCCAGTTGGTAGGTCTCAACTAGGCCCGGCAAAGCCTAGGAGACACCTAGGCAAGGCCTAGCCAGGCCTAGGAGAGGCCTGGCCAGGCCTAGGAGAGGCTTAGCCAGGTCTAGGGGAGGCCTAGCCAGGTCTAGGGGAGGCCTAGCTAGGCCTAGCAGAGGCCTAGCCAGGCCTATGAGAGGCCTGGCTAGGCCTAGCAGAGGCCTAGCCAGACCTAGCAGAGGCCTAGCCAGGTCTAGGAGAGGCCTAGCTAGGTCTAGGAGAGGCCTATCCAGGTCTAGGAGAGGCCTAGTTAGGTCTAGGAGAGGCCTGGCCAGGCCTAGCAGAGGCCTAGCCAGGTCTAGGAGAGACCTAGCTAGGCCTAGCCAGGCCTATGAGAGGCCTGGCTAGGCCTAGCAGAGGCCTAGCCAGGTCTAGGGGAGGCCTAGCTAGGCCTAGCAGAGGCCTAGCCAGGCCTATGAGAGGCCTAGCCAGGCCTATGAGAGGCCTAGCCAGGCCTAGGAGCGGCCTAGCCTGGCCTAGGAGCAGCCTAGCTAGGCCTAGGAGAGGCCTAACCAGGCCTAGGAGAGGCCTGGCTAGGCCTACCAGAGGCCTAGCCAGACCTAGCAGAGGCCTAGCCAGGTCTAGGAGAGGCCTAGCTAGGTCTAGGAGAGGCCTAGCCAGGTCTAGGAGAGGCCTAGTTAGGTCGAGGAGAGGCCTGGCCAGGCCTAGCAGAGGCCTAGCCAGGTCTAGCAGAGGCCTAGCTAGGCCTAGCAGAGGCCTAGCCAGGCCTATGAGAGGCCTGGCTAGGCCTAGCAGAGGCCTAGCCAGACCTAGCAGAGGCCTAGCCAGGTCTAGGAGAGGCCTAGCTAGGTCTAGGAGAGGCCTAGCCAGGTTTAGGAGAGGCCTGGCTAGGTCTAGCAGAGGTCTAGGAGAGGCCTAGCTAGGTCTAGGAGAGGCCTGGCTAGGCCTAGCAGAGGCCTAGCCAGGCCTAGCAGAGGCCTAGCCAGGTCTAGGAGAGGCCTCACCAGGCCTAGCAGAGGCCTAGCCAGGTCTAGGAGAGGCCTGGCCAGGCCTAGGAGAGGCCTAGCAAGGCATAGGAGACGCCTTGCCAGGCCTAGGAGAAGCCTAGCCAGACCTAGTAGAGGCCTAGGAGAGGCCTTACCAGGCCTAGCCAGGCCTAGGAGATGCCTTGTCAGGCCTAGGAGAGGCCTAGGTGAGGGCTGGAGGCCTAGGTGAGGCCTGGCCAGGCCTAGCAGAGGCCTAGGCGTGGCCTAGCGGACAGAGAAGTAGACGGCGATGATGATGACGATGAGGGTCGCCACGGCAACCGCCATGAGGATCACTCGGTTCTGTATCAACCTGGAGACAGAGGATGGGTGGGTGGGTGAGTGGGTGAGTGGGTGGGTGAGTGAGTGGGTGAGTGAGTGGGTGAGTGGGTGAGTGAGTGAGTGAGTGGGTGAGTGGGTGAGTGAGTGAGTGGGTGAGTGGGTGAGTGAGTGAGTGAGTGGGTGGGTGGGTGGGTGAGTGGGTGAGTGAGTGGGTGAGTGGGTGGGTGAGTGAGTGGGTGAGTGGGTGGGTGAGTGGGTGGGTGAGTGAGTGGGTGAGTGAGTGGGTGGGTGAGTGAGTGGGTGAGTGGGTGGGTGAGTGAGTGGGTGAGTGAGTGGGTGGGTGAGTGAGTGGGTGAGTGGGTGGGTGAATGGGTGGGTGAGTGAGTGGGTGGGTGAGTGAGTGGGTGAGTGGGTGGGTGGGTAGGTGGGTGAGTGGGTGGGTGGGTAGGTGGGTGAGTGGGTGGGTGGGTGGGTGAGTGGGTGAGTGGGTGGGTGGGTAGGTGGGTGAGTGGGTGGGTGGGTGGGTGGGTGAGTGGGTGGGTGGGTAGGTGGGTCAGTGGGTGGGTGGGTGAGTGGGTGGGTGGGTGGGTGGGTGGGTGAGTGGGTGGGTGGGTGAGTGGGTGGGTAGGTGGGTGGGTGAGTGGGTGGGTGGGTGGGTGAGTGGGTGGGTGGGTGGGTGAGTGGGTGAGTGGGTGGGTGAGTGGGTGGGTGAGTGGGTAGGTGGGTGGGTGAGTGGGTGGGTGAGTGAGTGGGTTAGTGAGTGGGTGAGTGAGTGGGTGAGTGAGTGGGTGGGTGAGTGGGTGGGTGAGTGGGTGGGTGAGTGGGTGGGTGGGTGAGTGAGTGAGTGGGTGGGTGAGTGAGTGGGTGGGTGAGTGAGTGGGTGAGTGAGTGGGTGAGTGAGTGGGTGAGTGAGTGGGTGAGTTGGTGAGTGGGTGGGTGGGTGAGTGGGTGGGTGGGTGGGTGAGTGGGTGGGTGGGTGAGTGGGTGGGTGGGTGAGTGGGTGGGTGGGTGGGTGAGTGAGTGGGTGGGTGGGTGAGTGAGTGGGTGGGTGGGTGGGTGAGTGAGTGGGTGGGTGGGTGGGTGAGTGGGTGGGTGGGTAGGTGGGTGAGTGGGTGGGTGGGTGGGTGAGTGGGTGAGTGGGTGGGTGGGTGAGTGAGTGGGTTAGTGAATGGGTGAGTGGGTGGGTGAGTGGGTGGGTGAGTTACCTGATCTCTTACCTGCGCATCATTCCAGACAGAACTCTTGAACTTTTACCCAGGTGAGAGTCTGTCTCTCTTAGCTACAGAGAGAGAAAGAGAGAGACACTCACTCACTCACCCACCCACTCTCTCACCCACTCACCCACTCACTCACCCACTCACCCACTCGCTCACTCACCCACCCACTCACTCGCCCACCCACTCACTCACCCATTCACCCACTCACTCACCCACTCACCCACCCACTCACCCACCCACTCACCCACCCACTCACCCACCCACTCACCCACCCACTCACCCACTCACCCACTCACTCACCCACCCACTCACCCACTCACTCACCCACTCACTCACTCACCCACTCACTCACTCACCCACACACTCACTCACTCACCCACTAACTCACTCACTCACTCACCCACTCACTCACTCACCCACTCACTCACTCACCCACCCACCCACTCACCCACTCACTCACTCACTCACCCACCCACCCACTCACTCACCCACCCACCCACCCACTCACTCACCCACTCACTCACCCACTCACCCACTCACCCTCTCTCTTGCTCTCTGAATAGTTTCTCTATCCCGATGGAGATTGTCAAGAATGTCTTGTCCAATTTGTTCTGACGGAGAAACACAGAGAGAGGTGGTGGTGGTGGTGGTGGTGATGGTGGTGATGGTGGTGGTGATGATGGTGGTGGTGATGATGGTGGTGGTGATGATGATGGTGGTGGTGATGATGGTGGTGGTGATGATGATGGTGGTGGTGATGATGGTGGTGGTGATGGTGGTGGTGGTGGTGATGGTGGTGGTGGTGATGGTGGTGGTGGTGATGATGGTGGTGGTGATGGTGGTGATGGTGGTGGTGATGGTGGTGGTGGTGGTGATGATGGTGGTGGTGATGGTGGTGATGGTGGTGGTGGTGATGGTGGTGGTGGTGATGATGGTGGTGGTGATGATGGTGGTGGTGATGGTGGTGGTGGTGGTGATGATGGTGGTGGTGATGGTGGTGGTGATGGTGGTGATGGTGATGATGATGGTGGTGGTGGTGGTGGTGGTGGTGATGATGATGGTGATGGTGGTGGTGATGGTGATGATGATGATGGTGGTGGTGATGGTGGTGGTGATGGTGGTGATGGTGGTGATGGTGATGGTGGTGATGGTGGTGGTGGTGATGGTGATGATGGTGGTGGTGGTGGTGATGGTGATGATGGTGGTGGTGGTGATGGTGGTGGTGATGGTGGTGATGGTGATGATGGTGGTGGTGGTGGTGATGGTGGTGATGGTGGTGATGGTGGTGATGGTGATGGTGGTGATGGTGATGATGGTGGTGGTGATGGTGGTGATGGTGGTGATGGTGGTGGTGATGGTGATGGTGGTGATGGTGGTGATGGTGGTGGTGGTGATGGTGGTGGTGGTCGTGGTGGTGGTGGTGATGGTGGTGGTGGTGATGGTGGTGATGGTGGTGGTGATGGTGGTGGTGATGGTGGTGGTGGTGGTGGTGATGGTGGTGATGGTGGTGATGGTGGTGGTGGTGGTGGTGAGTGTTGTTGATGTTGTTGTTGATGTTGTTGATGATGTTGATGTTGTTGATGTTGTTGATGTTGTTGTTGTTGATGTTGTTGTTGATGATGTTGATGTTGTTGTTGTTGATGATGATGTTGATGTTGTTGATGTTGTTGATGATGTTGTTGATGTTGTTGTTGATGATGTTGTTGATGTTGATGTTGTTGATGTTGATGTTGTTGTTGTTTAAGTTGTTGTTGTTGTTGTTGCTGTTGCTCTACCAGTCTCCACCACCGTTCTGTATCCGGCCTCCAGATGGCTACTCGCTGACTCCAACCTCTCTGTGTTGCCTAGCAACAGGGACCTCTAAACAACAACAACAACAACATCAACAACATCAACATCAACATCATCAACAACATCATCAACAACATCAACAACAACATCAACAACAACAACAACATCATCACCACCACCATCACCATCAACACCACCACCATCACCACCACCATCACCACCACCATCACCACCACCATCACCACCACCACCATCACCACCACCACCATCACCACCATCACCACCACCACCACCATCACCACCACCACCACCATCACCACCACCACCACCACCACCATCACCACCACCACCACCATCACCACCACCATCACCACCACCACCATCACCACCACCATCACCATCACCACCATCACCACCACCATCACCACCACCACCATCACCACCACCATCATCACCACCACCATCACCACCACCATCACCACCACCACCACCACCATCACCACCACCACCACCATCACCACCACCATCATCACCACCACCACCACCACCATCACCACCACCATCACCACCACCACCACCACCATCACCACCATCACCACCACCATCACCACCACCACCACCACCATCACCACCACCACCACCATCACCACCATCACCTGTCCATGTGATGATGTTTTTCCATCACTGCTTAGCAACTTCTCCCTCACAGAGAGCTCATCGCTGTAGGCGATGCGAGATCGCTTCTAGACAGGGGAGAGAGACACTCAGTCAGTCACTCAGTCACTCAGTCAGTCACTCAGTCACTCAGTCAGTCACTCAGTCACTCAGTCAGTCACTCACTCAGTCAGTCAGTCACTCAGTCAGTCAGTCACTCAGTCAGTCACTCAGTCACTCAGTCAGTCACTCACTCAGTCAGTCAGTCACTCAGTCAGTCAGTCACTCAGTCAGTCACTCAGTCACTCAGTCAGTCACTCAGTCACTCAGTCAGTCACTCACTCAGTCAGTCACTCACTCAGTCAGTCAGTCACTCAGTCAGACACTCACTCAGTCAGTAAGTCACTCAGTCAGTCACTCAGTCAGTCACTCAGTCAGTCAGTCACTCACTCAGTCAGTCACTCAGTCACCCACTCAGTCTCTGAGTGGGTGGGTAGCTGAGTGAATGGGTAGCTGGGTGTGTAGCTGAGTGGGTATCTGAGTGGGTAGCTGAGTGTGTAGCTGAGTGTGTAGCTGAGTGTGTAGCTGACTCACGTAGTCAGCCTCAAGGGAGCTGAGTGTGTAGCTGAGTGGGCAGCTGAGTGTGTAGCTGAGTGTGTAGCTGAGTGTGTAGCTGAGTGTGTAGCTGAGTGAGTGGGTAGCTGAGTGTGTAGCTGACTCACGTAGTCAGCCTCAAGGGAGCTGAGTGTGTAGCTGAGTGAGTAGCTGAGTGAGTGTGTAGCTGAGTGTGTAGCTGAGTGTGTAGCTGAGTGAGTGGGTAGCTGAGTGTGTAGCTGACTCACGTAGTCAGCCTCAAGGGAGCTGAGTGTGTAGCTGAGTGTGTAGCTGGGTGTGTAGCTGAGTGAGTGTGTAGCTGAGTGTGTAGCTGAGTGTGTAGCTGAGTGTGTAGCTGACTCACGTAGTCAGCCTCAAGGGAGCTGAGTGTGTAACTGACTCACTGAGTGTGTAGCTGGGTGTGTAGCTGAGTGAGTGGGTAGCTGAGTGTGTACCTGAGTGTGTAGCTGAGTGGGTAGGTGACTCACTGAGTGTGTAGCTGAGTGTGTAGCTGAGTGGGTAGCTGAGTGGGTAGCTGAGTGGGTAGCTGACTCACTGAGTGTGTAGCTGAGTGGGTAGCTGAGTGGGTAGCTGAGTGGGTAGCTGAGTGGGTAGCTGAGTGGGTAGCTGAGTGGGTAGCTGACTCACTGAGTGTGTAGCTGAGTGGGTAGCTGAGTGTGTAGCTGAGTGGGTAGCTGAGTGAGTAGCTGAGTGGGTAGCTGACTCACGTAGTCAGCCTCAAGGGAGCTGAGTGAGTAGCTGAGTGTGTAGCTGAGTGGGTAGCTGAGTGGGTAGCTGACTCACTGAGTGGGTAGCTGAGTGGGTAGCTGAGTGTGTGTGTAGCTGAGTGTGTAGCTGAGTGTGTAGCTGAGTGTGTAGCTGAGTAGGTAGCTGACTCACGTAGTCAGCCTCAAGGGAGCTGAGTGTGTAGCTGAGTGTGTAGCTGAGTGTGTAGCTGACTCACTGAGTGGGTAGCTGAGTGGGTAGCTGAGTGGGTAGCTGACTCACGTAGTCAGCCTCAAGGGAGCTGAGTGTGTAGCTGAGTGTGTAGCTGACTCACTGAGTGTGTAGCTGAGTGGGTAGCTGAGTGGGTAGCTGACTCACGTAGTCAGCCTCAAGGGAGCTGAGTGTGTAGCTGAGTGTGTAGCTGAGTGTGTAGCTGAGTGTGTAGCTGACTCACGTAGTCAGCCTCAAGGGAGCTGAGTGTGTAGCTGAGTGTGTAGCTGACTCACTGAGTGTGTAGCTGAGTCACTGAGTGGGTAGCTGAGTGGGTAGCTGAGTGGGTAGCTGAGTGTGTAGCTGACTCACTGAGTGGGTAGCTGAGTGTGTAGCTGAGTGAGTGAGTAGCTGAGTGAGTAGCTGAGTGTGTAGCTGAGTGAGTGAGTAGCTGAGTGAGTAGCTGAGTGTGTAGCTGAGTGAGTGGGTAGCTGAGTGGGTAGCTGACTCACGTAGTCAGCCTCAAGGGAGCTGAGTGAGTAGCTGAGTGTGTAGCTGAGTGAGTGGGTAGCTGAGTGGGTAGCTGACTCACGTAGTCAGCCTCAAGGGAGCTGAGTGAGTAGCTGAGTGTGTAGCTGAGTGTGTAGCTGACTCACTGAGTGGGTAGCTGAGTGGGTAGCTGAGTGTGTAGCTGAGTGTGTAGCTGAGTGTGTAGCTGAGTGTGTAGCTGACTCACTGAGTGTGTAGCTGTGTAGCTGAGTGTGTAGCTGTGTAGCTGAGTGTGTAGCTGAGTAGGTAGCTGACTCACGTAGTCAGCCTCAAGGGAGCTGAGTGTGTAGCTGAGTGTGTAGCTGAGTGTGTAGCTGACTCACTGAGTGTGTAGCTGAGTGGGTAGCTGAGTGGGTAGCTGAGTAGCTGAGTGGGTAGCTGACTCACGTAGTCAGCCTCAAGGGAGCTGAGTGTGTAGCTGAGTGTGTAGCTGAGTGTGTAGCTGAGTGTGTAGCTGAGTGAGTAGCTGAGTGCGTAGCTGAGTGTGTAGCTGAGTGAGTGTGTAGCTGAGTGTGTAGCTGACTCACGTAGTCAGCCTCAAGGGAGCTGAGTGTGTAGCTGAGTAGCTGAGTGGGTAGCTGACTCACTGAGTGTGTAGCTGAGTAGCTGAGTGTGTAGCTGACTCACTGAGTGTGTAGCTGTGTAGCTGAGTGTGTAGCTGTGTAGCTGAGTGTGTAGCTGAGTGGGTAGCTGACTCACGTAGTCAGCCTCAAGGGAGCTGAGTGTGTAGCTGACTCACTGAGTGAGTAGCTGAGTGAGTAGCTGAGTGTGTAGCTGAGTGGGTAGCTGAGTGTGTAGCTGAGTGTGTAGCTGAGTGTGTAGCTGACTCACTGAGTGTGTAGCTGAGTGTGTAGCTGAGTGAGTGTGTAGCTGAGTGGGTAGCTGAGTGTGTAGCTGAGTGGGTAGCTGAGTGTGTAGCTGACTCACTGAGTGTGTAGCTGAGTGTGTAACTGAGTGTGTAGCTGAGTGTGTAGCTGACTCACTGAGTGTGTAGCTGAGTGTGTAGCTGAGTGTGTAGCTGAGTGTGTAGCTGAGTGTGTAGCTGAGTAGCTGAGTGTGTAGCTGAGTGTGTAGCTGAGTGTGTAGCTGAGTGTGTAGCTGAGTGTGTAGCTGACTCACGTAGTCAGCCTCAAGGGAGCTGAGTGTGTAGCTGAGTGTGTAGCTGAGTGTGTAGCTGAGTGTGTAGCTGAGTGTGTAGCTGACTCACGTAGTCAGCCTCAAGGGAGCTGAGTGTGTAGCTGAGTGGGTAGCTGAGTGAGTGAGTGTGTAGCTGAGTGTGTAGCTGAGTGGGTAGCTGAGTGTGTAGCTGAGTGTGTAGCTGAGTGGGTAGCTGAGTGTGTAGCTGAGTGTGTAGCTGACTCACTGAGTGTGTAGCTGAGTGTGTAGCTGACTCACTGAGTGTGTAGCTGAGTGTGTAGCTGAGTGAGTGTGTAGCTGAGTGGGTAGCTGACTCACGTAGTCAGCCTCAAGGGAGCTCAGCTCTGTGCGGAGACTTCGAGTTTGAGCCGTGGCTCGGACTCTCAGGGGAGCCGGCTGATCACGAGCCTCCAACTCCATCTGTTCCATCTGCGACTCACACACTCACTCACTCAGACACTCACTCAGACACTCACTCACTCAGACACTCACTCAGACACTCAGTCACTCAGACACTCACTCAGACACTCAGACACTCACTCAGACACTCAGACACTCACTCAGACACTCACTCACTCAGACACTCACTCAGACACTCAGTCACTCAGACACTCACTCACTCAGACACTCACTTAGACACTCAGACACTCACTCAGTCACTCAGACACTCACTCAGACACTCACTCAGACACTCACTCACTCAGACACTCACTCAGACACTCACTCACTCAGACACTCACTCAGACACTCACTCACTCAGACACTCACTCAGTCACTCAGACACTCACTCACTCAGACACTCACTCAGACACTCACTCACTCAGACACTCACTCAGACACTCACTCACTCAGACACTCACTCAGACACTCAGACACTCACTCACTCAGACACTCACTTAGACACTCAGACACTCACTCAGACACTCACTCACTCAGACACTCACTCACTCAGACACTCACTCAGACACTCAGACACTCACTCAGACACTCACTCAGACACTCACTCAGACACTCACTCACTCAGACACTCACTCAGACACTCAGACACTCACTCACTCAGACACTCACTTAGACACTCAGACACTCACTCAGACACTCACTCACTCAGACACTCACTCACTCAGACACTCACTCAGACACTCACTCACTCAGACACTCACTCACTCAGACACTCACTCAGACACTCACTCACTCAGACACTCACTCACTCAGACACTCACTCACTCAGACACTCACTCAGACACTCAGACACTCAGTCAGTCACTCAGTCACTCACTCAAACACTCACTCACTCAGACACTCACTCAGACACTCACTCAGACACTCACTCAGACATTCACTCACTCAGACTCACTCACTCAGACACTCACTCACTCAGACACTCACTCAGACACTCACTCAGACACTCACTCACTCAGACACTCACTCACTCAGACACTCACTCAGACACTCAGTCACTCAGACACTCAGTCAGTCACTCACTCACTCAGACACTCACTCAGACACTCACTCACTCAGACACTCACTCAGACACTCACTCACTCAGACACTCAGTCAGTCACTCAGACACTCAGACACTCACTCAGGCACTCACTCACTCAGACACTCACTCACTCAGACACTCACTCAGACACTCACTCAGACACTCACTCAGACACTCACTCACTCAGACACTCACTCAGACACTCACTCACTCAATTAGACACTCAGACACTCACTCAGACACTCAGTCACTCAGACACTCAGTCACTCAGACACTCACTCAGACACTCAGACACTCACTCAGACACTCACTCACTCAGACACTCACTCACTCAGACACTCACTCAGACACTCAGACACTCACTCAGACACTCACTCAGACACTCAGACACTCACTCAGACACTCACTCAGTCACTCAGACACTCACTCACTCAGACTCTCACTCAGACACTCAGACACTCACTCAGACACTCAGACACTCACTCACTCACTCAGACACTCACTCAGTCACTCACTCACTCAGTCACTCACTCAGTCACTCACTCAGACACTCACTCAGACACTCAGTCAGTCACTCACTCACTCACTCAGACACTCACTCAGACACTCACTCAGACACTCACTCAGACATTCACTCAGACACTCACTCAGACACTCACTTAGACACTCACTCAGACACTCACTCACTCACACAGACACTCACTTAGACACTCACTCACTTAGACAATCACTCAGACACTCACTCACTCAGACACTCACTCAGACACTCACTCACTCAGACACTCACTCACTCACTTAGACACTCACTCAGACACTCACTCAGACACTCACTCACTCAGACACTCACTCAGTCACTCAGTCACTCATTTAGACACTCACTCAGATACTCACTCACTCACTTAGACACTCAGACACTCACTCACTCAGTCACTCAGACACTCACTCAGACACTCACTCACTCACTAAGACACTCACTTAGACACTCACTCACTCACTTAGACACTCAGACATTCACTCACTCAGACACTCACTTAGACACTCACTTAGACACTTACCAACTCGAGACATTCCTCCAGTTGCTTTTCAGTGGCTGAGCAAAGAGCGGATTTCTCATCTAAACAATAAAGAGGTGAGATAGTGAGTTACTTAGACACTCACTTAGACACTCACTTAGACACTCACTCACTCAGATACTCATTCAGACACTCACTCACTGAAATACTCACACAGACACTCACTCAGATACTCACTCACTTAGACACTCACTCAGACACTCAGTCACTTAGACACTCACTTAGACACTCACTCACTCAGACACTCACTCAGACACTCACTCACTCAGACACTCAGACACTCACTCACTCACTCAGATACTCACTCAGATACTCACACAGACACTCACTCAGATACTCACTCACTCACTTAGACACTCACACAGACACTCACTCAGATACTCACACAGACACTCACTCAGATACTCACTCACTCACTTAGACACTCACACAGACACTCACTCAGATACTCACTCACTCAGTTAGACACTCAGATACTCATTCAGACACTCACTCTCTCAGATACTCACACAGACACTCACTCACTCAGACACTCATTCAGACACTCACTCACTCAGACACTCATTCAGACACTCACTCACTCAGACACTCATTCAGACACTCACTCACTCACACACACAGACACTCACTCACTCACTTAGACACTCACTCACTAAGACACTCACTCAGACACTCACTCAGACACTCAATCACTCAGACACTCACTCACTCAGACACTCACTCACGCAGACACTCACTCACTCAGACACTCACTCAGACACTCACTCACTCAGTCACTCACTCAGTCACACACTCACGTAGACACTCACTTAGACACTCAGACAATCACTCACTCACTCAGACACTCACTCAGACACTCACTCACTCAGACACTCACTCAGACACTCACACACAGAGATTTCTACATCAACAAAGAGGTGTGATAGTGACACACACACACAGATTTCTACATCAACATCAACAAAGAGGTGTGATAATGACACACACACACACAGATTTCTACATCAACATCAACAAAGAGGTGTGATAGTGACACACACACAGATTTCTACATCAACAAAGAGGTGTGATAGTGACACACAAACACACAGAGATTTCTACATCAACATCAACAAAGAGGTGTGATAGTGACACACACACAGAGAGATTTCTACATCAACAAAGAGGTGTGATAGTGACACACACACAGAGATTTCTACATCAACAAAGAGGTGTGATAGTGACACACACACACAGAGAGATTTCTACATCAACATCAACAAAGAGGTGTGATAGTGACACACACACACACAGATTTCTACATCAACAAAGAGGTGTGATAGTGACACACACACAGAGATTTCTACATCAACATCAACAAAGAGGTGTGATAGTGACACACACACACACAGATTTCTACATCAACAAAGAGGTGTGATAGTGACACACACACACAGATTTCTACATCAACAAAGAGGTGTGATAGTGACACACACACACAGATTTCTACATCAACATCAACAAAGAGGTGTGATAGTGACACACACACACACACAGATTTCTACATCAACATCAACAAAGAGGTGTGATAGTGACACACACACACAGATTTCTACATCAACAAAGAGGTGTGATAGTGACACACACACACAGATTTCTACATCAACAAAGAGGTGTGATAGTGACACACACACAGAGAGATTTCTACATCAACATCAACAAAGAGGTGTGATAGTGACACACACACACAGATTTCTACATCAACAAAGAGGTGTGATAGTGACACACACACACAGATTTCTACATCAACAAAGAGGTGTGATAGTGACACACACACACAGATTTCTACATCAACAAAGAGGTGTGATAGTGACACACACACAGATTTCTACATCAACAAAGAGGTGTGATAGTGACACACACACACAGAGATTTCTACATCAACATCAACAAAGAGGTGTGATAGTGACACACACACACAGATTTCTACATCAACAAAGAGGTGTGATAGTGACACACACACACAGATTTCTACATCAACATCAACAAAGAGGTGTGATAGTGACACACACACACACAGATTTCTACATCAACAAAGAGGTGTGATAGTGACACACACACACAGATTTCTACATCAACAAAGAGGTGTGATAGTGACACACACACACACAGATTTCTACATCAACAAAGAGGTGTGATAGTGACACACACACACACACAGATTTCTACATCAACAAAGAGGTGTGATAGTGACACACACACACAGATTTCTACATCAACAAAGAGGTGTGATAGTGACACACACACAGATTTCTACATCAACAAAGAGGTGTGATAGTGACACACACACACAGATTTCTACATCAACATCAACAAAGAGGTGTGACAGTGACACACACACAGAGAGATTTCTACATCAACAAAGAGGTGTGATAGTGACACACACACACAGATTTCTACATCAACAAAGAGGTGTGATAGTGACACACACACACACACAGATTTCTACATCAACATCAACAAAGAGGTGTGACAGTGACACACACACAGAGAGATTTCTGCATCAACAAAGAGGTGTGATAGTGACACACACACAGAGATTTCTACATCAACAAAGAGGTGTGATAGTGACACACACACAGAGATTTCTACATCAACAAAGAGGTGTGATAGTGACACACACACACAGAGATTTCTACATTAACAAAGAGGTGTGATAGTGACACACACACACACACAGATTTCTACATCAACATCAACAAAGAGGTGTGATAGTGACACACACACACAGATTTCTACATCAACAAAGAGGTGTGATAGTGACACACACACAAAGATTTCTACATCAACAAAGAGGTGTGATAGTGACACACACACACACACACAGATTTCTACATCAACAAAGAGGTGTGATAGTGACACACACACACAGAGATTTCAACATCAACAAAGAGGTGTGATAGTGACACACACACAGAGAGATTTCTACATCAACATCAACAAAGAGGTGTGATAGTGACACACACACACAGATTTCTACATCAACAAAGAGGTGTGATAGTGACACACACACACAGAGAGATTTCTACATCAACATCAACAAAGAGGTGTGATAGTGACACACACACACAGATTTCTACATCAACATCAACAAAGAGGTGTGATAGTGACACACACACACACAGAGATTTCTACATCAACAAAGAGGTGTGATAGTGACACACACACAAAGATTTCTACATCAACAAAGAGGTGTGATAGTGACACACACACACAGATTTCTACATCAACAAAGAGGTGTGATAGTGACACACACACACAGAGAGATTTCTACATCAACATCAACAAAGAGGTGTGATAGTGACACACACACACACAGATTTCTACATCAACATCAACAAAGAGGTGTGATAGTGACACACACACACAGATTTCTACATCAACAAAGAGGTGTGATAGTGACACACACACAGATTTCTACATCAACAAAGAGGTGTGATAGTGACACACACACACAGATTTCTACATCAACAAAGAGGTGTGATAGTGACACACACACACAGATTTCTACATCAACAAAGAGGTGTGATAGTGACACACACACAGATTTCTACATCAACATCAACAAAGAGTGTGACAGTGACACACACACACACACACAGAGATTCTACATAACATCAACAAAGAGGTGTGATAGTGACACACACACACAGATTTCTACATCAACAAAGAGGTGTGATAGTGACACACACACACAGATTTCTACATCAACAAAGAGGTGTGATAGTGACACACACACACACACAGATTTCTACATCAACATCAACAAAGAGGTGTGATAGTGACACACACACACAGATTTCTACATCAACATCAACAAAGAGGTGTGATAGTGACACACACACAGATTTCTACATCAACAAAGAGGTGTGATAGTGACACACACACACACAGATTTCTACATCAACAAAGAGGTGTGATAGTGACACACACACACAGAGATTTCACATCAACAAAGAGGTGTGATAGTGACACACACACAGAGAGATTTCTACATCAACATCAACAAAGAGGTGTGATAGTGACACACACACACAGATTTCTACATCAACAAAGAGGTGTGATAGTGACACACACACACACAGATTTCTACATCAACATCAACAAAGAGGTGTGATAGTGACACACACACACAGATTTCTACATCAACATCAACAAAGAGGTGTGATAGTGACACACACACACACAGAGATTTCTACATCAACAAAGAGGTGTGATAGTGACACACACACACACAGATTTCTACATCAACAAAGAGGTGTGATAGTGACACACCACACACAGATTTCTACATCAACAAAGAGGTGTGATAGTGACACACACACACAGATTTCTACATCAACAAAGAGGTGTGATAGTGACACACACACACAGATTTCTACATCAACATCAACAAAGAGGTGTGATAGTGACACACACACACACAGGATTTTCTACATCAACATCAACAAAGAGGTGTGATAGTGACACACACACACACAGATTTCTACATCAACATCAACAAAGAGGTGTGATAGTGACACACACACACAGATTTCTACATCAACAAAGAGGTGTGATAGTGACACACACACACAGAGATTTCTACATCAACATCAACAAAGAGGTGTGATAGTGACACACACACAGATTTCTACATCAACATCAACAAAGAGGTGTGATAGTGACACACACACACACACAGATTTCTACATCTACATCAACAAAGAGGTGTGATAGTGACACACACACACAGATTTCTACATCAACATCAACAAAGAGGTGTGATAGTGACACACACACACAGAGATTTCTACATCAACAAAGAGGTGTGATAGTGACCACACACACAAGATTTCTACATCAACATCAACAAAGAGGTGTGATAGTGACACACACACAGAGAGATTT